CTGCTTGTCTTCCCTTCCGGAAAAGGTCCAGAGCTGCCCACTCTACCTGCACCCCACCTCTGGGCAGCCACTCCTGTCCAGCCCCTGCACACAGCGTTGACAAGGCCCCTCCACAGTCTACCCCAGCCACAAGCAAATGCCACCTTCCTTCCCTCACTGTGTCCAGGGTGGCTCGTCCCTGCTCCTGATGGCACTGTCTGCTCCTTGTCGTTACCGTGTGGCTGGCAGAACAGACTATGAGATATTTATGTGTTTTATAGTGCTTGACAGTCGGGGCTGTTCTGGGGTTTGTTTTAGTTAAAATTTGCAGCTTTATTGAGTAAAATTGGCAAAATGACCTAAGTATATGTATTCAGGTTTTATGCGATGCAGCGATTTGGGGTATGTCGAGAATGACTGCCGTGAGCATTCCTTCACGTGGGCTTCCACAGGCGGGAGGTAATCTAGTGTCAAGCAAACGATACTGTATTTCTAATGCAGCCAGCACCACTGGACTGGAGCACTTACATAACGAAATGATAAAGACTAGAATACCATTTCAGCTGTTGCTTGTCACGCCCAGTCCACTCTCCAGGTCTTAAAGCCATACTTCTACTCCCTGCTCTGTGGGTTTGGTGTTTTTAGATTCCACACATGAACTCATGTGGCAGTTGTCTTTCTGGACCCGGGTTATTTCACTTCTCCTGGGGTCATCCAGGCTCAGCTCATGTTGTTGCGAATGGGAGATTGTTTTCTTTTACAGCTGGGTATGGCCAATCCCAGAGGATGAAGAGCTTCAGGTTCAGACGCCCTCCAAACCTTCCCACATACCCCTCCTTGCTCTCTTTCAAATTAGTGGCCTCTCTTTTTCACTAATTGTTGTTACATATATATATATATATATATATATATATATATATGCATAAATATTCCTAAATACTCAACTACAACCTGCTCAGCCTCTGTAATGATTTTTGTATCTAAGTTTTGAGGGCTGACCATTTGGTACCGGATGAGCAACTGGTGTGCTCCTCCCTGAGGAAGACTGTTTCTCCTGCTCTCAGCATTCCTTATATATGTGTACTGGGGATTTTCTCCCTCAATTGTAATTTAGATTAATGAAAGTTAGTTTAACCGGCCGGGCAGTGGTGGCGCACGCCTTTAATCCCAGCACTCGGAAGGCAGAGGCAGGCGGATCTCTGTGAGTTCGAGGCCAGCCTGGTCTACAAGAGCTAGTTCCAGGACAGTCTCCAAAGCTACAGAGAAACGCTGTCTCAAAAAAACAAAAAACAAAAAAAAAAAAGAAAGAAAAAGAAAATTAGTTTAACCGTAAATATATTTGTTTCTAATGTAAGTCACATCTTCCTAACAAAACCCCAGTTTGATAACCATGAGTAACTTATCCCGTGTCCATATCTCCATGTAACTGTCCATCCAGAACAGGCCGTGTGAGCCTCGTAAAGCGTCCCTCTGTCTGCACTTCTTTACTGAGTGTCTGGGGACAGCGCAAAGGCCCAAGTGGATGCCTCGCACATTGTGGGTTTGCTCTCTTAGCTGAGAAGCTTGGCTCTTACCGCAAGCCTGCTCTTCATCCCCAAGAGGACAATATTTCATCTCTCAAGGCTGCGCTCTGTGAACACAATCCAAGGAAATGACCTTGCCGATAGCCGACAGGGACTGGCATTCTTATTTCCAGCAAAAGTCTAGGCTCAGGGCCACAGTGAGTGCTTCCCCCATCAGGCTACTCCTCGGCCCACATATTCTTGACCAAACATTTTACCAGAGGACATTCTGAAATGCCCCACCGTGGTCACGAAGTAGCCTATTCCCATTTGTCCTCTCATCTACTGAGACCCCATTAGGTGTAAAGCCATTGCATCTGCCTGATGGGTGTGAAGTTATGTTCACCTCTAGTGATCCATTTGCCCTCATGGTCTCTTTTATTTGATGATAATACAACCGTGCCAGCTGTCCTTTGGCTAGTATCTGGTTTATCTTCACTAGAACCTCTAATTCATTTTAACGTATTGTGTGGCTGGAAGAGGTGTCTTCATCTCTATCCCTCATGCTGTTCCTTCCCTCTGACTGACAACTGATTCTGTCTCTGCCCTTTACCATTCTATCTGGTCCATCCTTAATATTTTTCATCATATTTTGAGTATTTTAACTGCCCTATCTTATCTCTCTCCATCAAGGATGTTCAGCCCCTGGGGTCTCAACGATTCTCCAGATGGTACAGATAACCTTTAATACATCAGGAGTCATTAATAGGCCCCCTTGTACCTTTACTCCCCACTGAAACAGCTGTGGCCTGAGGGGACCTCAGTTTGATGCCTTTTCCAGTCTCTATGCTTTTTCTGTCTTGAGTTTTAATTTGTAGATTTCCTCACTAGTTCATTAACCACAGTGTTCCTTTTGATCATTGTCCACTTGGATTTAAGCTCTGGCTTCTTCCTTCTTTCCTTCTTGAATCTCTGACCTTACATCTCCTGCCAACTTGAAGTTGACCCAACTTCTTTAAGTATGGGTCTATATTTCTAGGTATGCCTTTGTTACTGCTTGTGTGAATTGCCTTCATGTAACTTCTGAGTCTAGGGCTTTATGTTGGCACTGTTGTCTTCTGGTGTGCTGGAGACGTAACTCCACTGTTCTCAGGCTTCCATAGTTCCCAGGAAAAGTCAGCTGTCTGCGCATGAGCCGCCCCTGACTTGTTAGCTCTCTTCTTTCAGAATGGCTTCTGCAGTTGGTTTCCTACTTTTCTAGCACGGGTTCAGTGTGGCTTTATTTTTTGTTTTCCCAGCTACTTGATCCCTGAGGTTTTTGAATGTACAGCTCCGCGTCCTTCATCCATCCTGGAAGGCTCTCGCACTGTCTGTCTCCTTTCCTTCTCTCCGGTGTTTGTGCTGTTTTTTTTTTTTTTGTGCCTCTCACCTTTATTCTGATTCCTCCATCTTATCATCCTTGAGCTCAAACCAGAGAGTTTCTTAACTGACATTTTGGGTTCAGTCCACTGCTTTTCTGTAATTGCATCAAATCTATTTTGAAATCTCATTACTTTATTATATGTATTTGATTCCTTGTTATATTTGGCTTTGGAAATACTTCTTCTTTTTCAGGTTTTTTGAGACAGGGTTTCTCTGTAACTTTGGAGACTATCCTGGAACTTGCTCTGTAGACCAAGCTGGGCTCGAACTCACAGAGATCCACCTGCCTCTGCCTCCCGAGTGCTGGGATTAAAGGCATGCACCACCACTTCCCAGTTGAAAATACCTTCTTTTATAATTATCATCAAGATTTTTTTTATCACAACCATTTCCTCCCAGTTTTTATTGTAATAAAATATACAGCTTCAATGTTAGGTATAAACAGTTCAGCAGTGTTAACAGGCATTTAATTGGCTGTGTTAACCATTACCATCTGCCATGCTCTTCCACAGCCTGGGTCTCACAACCCTGACTAGGGACAAGGTACTGAAGAAAGGACAGAACCACAGACGCATGTACAGAGAGCTGAGGTCATACGGCTTGGGTTATCTGATGGAGAAGCTGCAGTACCCTAGAAGCTCAGCATGTCTATTATAGACAGGGAGCTGAGGTTATTGTATACAGCTGAGCAGGAAGCAGGCTTAGCTCATCTTGGTAGGAGCAGTCTCTGTAGGAGAGCAGTCTTCGGGCTGTAAATATCTTGAGCGCACATTTCTGCACACATTGTCAACATTTGTACTCAGACCCAAGGAAGCCTTTGCTGCTTCCATGGATCTGAGGCATCAGGGTCCTAGACGTGACTGTGTCCATGCCAACAATACACATCCACTCAGGACCTTAATCCCTCCCTACAGCCACCACCCATCCAAGCAAATCTTTGTATCTTCCAAAACTGAAACCCTATACTGATTAAGTAACAACTCCCCATTGCCCCCTTCCTTAGCCCATGAAAAATACCAATCTTCCTTCCACCTCTGTGAGTTTAATGATCTGGAGGCTTTGAGTAAATGGATTCACGCAGTATTTATCTTTATATTTCACTCATCGGGATGCTATTGAATTTCATCCACATTATCGCATGTCAAGGTGTTTTCCCTTTTAACAATGCCCCATTCTTTGCATGTGCTATGTCGTCTTGTTGACACATTTGTTCATCAGTAGACACTTGGGTTGCTCCCAATGTTTAGATATTGCTAATAATGTTGTGATATAAATGATGCTGTATAGTGCTAGTACAGGTCTCCTCAGAATGAAGCCCAGAGTATGCCCAGGCACCACTGCCTGACACCCTCTGAGGTCAGAGTTAGCTGCAGTCCACCTGACTGCTATAACAAAGTATCTTACACTGTGCAACCTGGAGGCAATAGGAATGAATTAACAGTCCTGGAGCCCGAGACTCAGGCACTACCAGAATCCATAGCTGGTGAGGCCTGCCTTCTTGTTCATAGATGGGAGTCTTGCTGTGTCTTCATGTAGCAGAAGGGACCCTGGGCTTCTTGCGTAAAGGCATTGATCCCATTCACAAGGTCTCTACCCTCTTAACTGCACCCTTGACTTAACGATTTTAACACATGGCAGGTAGTATAGCCAAGTCTCAGAGGTGAGAAAACCAGAATGCAGAGAGGCAGGCTAAATTGTCGCAGACTGCTTAGCTAGTGAGTTGCAGAGTTGGGGCCAGAGCCTCCTGCCCATCCTGAGGTCCAAACACACAGCATGACTTTCCAAGCCATGCTGGCCCCTGAGCCTCCTGTTTACTCTCACGCACTTGGCTCAATGAAAGAATGCTGACCCACCTCCCAAGGCCTCTGGCTAGAGTATGATACACCTGGGTTGTTAGCAGCAGGGCAGAGCCTGGCCCTGAGCATAAGACCTGCACGAGAGGATAGAGCAGGACCACATGGTTCCATTCCAGGGGTAAGGGGCTGCCAGCTGGATCCCTCTTAAAGGATGCCGGGGGTAGGGCAACTGAGACGCCGCTGGATTGACCACCTTCTGCAGTGCCCAGTCCATACCTGTCCTGGTTTTCTGCCTTCACAGGTGAACAATAATGGGATCATCTCCTTCCTGAAGGAGGTTTCTCAGTTCACCCCTGTGGCCTTCCCCATTGCCAAAGACCGCTGTGTGGTGGCAGCCTTCTGGGCAGATGTGGACAACCGACGTGCAGGCGACGTCTACTACCGGGAGGCCACTGACCCAGCCACGCTACAGAGAGCCACAGAGGACATCAGACGGTACTTTCCTGAGCTCCCGGACTTCTCTGCTACCTGGGTTTTTGTTGCCACCTGGTACCGCGTGACCTTCTTTGGAGGCAGCTCCTCTTCCCCCGTGAGTCCAGGTGGCTGTGTGGCCTGGGAGGGAGGCTGTGTAGTTGGGACCCTGCCGAGGCAGGCCAGGTATAGACGGTCTACAGCCAGAGAGGACTCTGGGCTTAAGGCTGTGTCACCTTTTTCTGAGATCACAGGGCCAGGGTGGAGGAGGACAGAGCCTCGCCCTTCCAGGCCCAGCAAAGCAGTTGGCAGGAGGGAGCTGCATAGGTGCTAGGAGGATTTCTATTGGAATGGCTTGGTTCTCGAACAGTTCCAGGGTGGGGCAGAGGGAGGGAGGGTCTGTTCTTGGCGGGATATTTTTTGTTTGTTTGGTTCTTGTAGGTTTGTTTTGTGTGCACGCATGCATACGTGCATGCGTGAGAGAGAGAGAGGTATATCACGCATGTATCTTCAAGTGTGCACGCCTATGGACAGGCCAGAGGAAGACATTGGATGTCCTGTTCTGTGTCATTTTATCCCTTATGTCATCTAGACAGGGGCTAGCGGTAAACTTTGGGCTAGGCTAGCAGCCAGCAAAACTCAAGCAATCCCCCTGTCTCGACCACCCCAGCACTTATGCTTATGTGCACACACAGGCTTAAGTGTGGCCATGTTCCAGTGTGTACTAGTGCTGGATGTTCATCTTCACACTCGTGTAGCGAGCACTTGTACGGCTGAACCACCAGCACAACTGCTGGGGTTTTTTGTTTTGTTTTGTTTTGGAGTAAGGTAATCATGTAAACCAGGTTGGCTTCAAACTCACTACGTAGGTGTGAATGACCTTCAACTCCTGACCCTCTCACCTCAGTTTCCAGAGTGCTGGGTCTGCAGGTGTGTGCCGACATACCTGACTGTTCCGTTTGTCTTTGGTGAGTGTGGTTGGCTGCTGTTACCCATCTAGATGGGTACTTTCCAGCACTTACTACACATAGGCCTATTCTGGATACTGAGCCACACAGAAAGAAAACCTGAGATGCAAGTGGCCTTTCAAAAGGGCTTTGGTAAGGGCACCTTCTGGGTGGCAGGTAGTGTCCCAAGCACTGGATAGCAGCTCTGGAAAGACAAGCCAACACTGTGGGGCTTATACGGGCCCCTAACAAAGACAGCAGGCGCTAGGATATGCTCAGAAGTGCAGTCTGTCCAGGTAGCACCTGCTGGGAAGGCTCATCAACACCAGGTGGATCTGTGTATTTTATTGCTCTACAGCCCCGACCACTGACCTTTGCGATCGTCACCCTTCCCGCCACCCACACAAAGCATTATCATCCGTCTGTTTACTCTCTCCTGCCAAATTTTATATGAGAATGATTCCCGCTCTGCTCTCTATTGTTCCCAATGGTTGAGACAACCTTGGGCTGTGAGGGGGGCTCCCATACTACCAGTGCCTTATGCATGGCCCTTCGAGATCCTACTGCGACACACATCTCCAGAACAGGCTGCTGCCCTTGCAGGGTCTCCTGCCGGCGTCCATTTGAAGGTGCCCGTTCTCTGCATCCCAGATAAGCGCTCTGTCATTTTTCTTCTTTGCTAACACTGCAGGCAAATCAAGGAATGCTTTTTTAAAACTTAGACATCTTTGGCTTCTACAGGTGTTAGATATTTTTTCTAGTATCATTGCTAGAGCTAACGTACTTATTCATGCCTTCTTCCAATTTTTCTTAATACTTATGGTCCATTTTTATTGTTCTAAGTTCTTCTGAATATGAAGGATAACAGCAGTCTTATCTGCTGTATGTTATGAATACATTTTTTTGCTACTGTCTCCAAACATTTTAATATCACAACACTTTTTCCACTCAGAGACTTTTGTCCATAAATGTATTCATCTTTCTTTTGGTTTTTGCTATTAATAAGCATCATAGAAGTCCTTCTCTGAGATGCAACACATATTACCCAGGGTTTTCTTCTAGGAATTCTATGATGTTTGTTTTAAAACCGTACTTGAGCCGGGCAGTGGTGGCACACACCTTTAATCCCTGCTCAGGAGCAGAGGCAGGAGGATCTCTGTAAGTTGGAGGCCAGCCTGGTCTATAAGAATTTCAGAATAAGCACCAGAGAAACCCTGTCACGAAAAAAGAAAAAAAAAAGAATACGGATTTGGGATTTGTTTTCATGCATGGTGTGAAGCGGGGCAGGATGCTAGCTTTGCCCTTTTTCAGTTTCCCATATGTCCCAAGATCATTTCTTCACCCCAGTCTGAAATACCTTCTTGGGGTACACTGTTCAGCAATATTCATGGAGTAAAGGTCCAAAAAACGTAAACCCTAATATTAGCAACTGCTTTTCCTCTTCCTTTTTGTTCTTACCACAGAGATTTTGTGGGTTTGGCTGAGGGAGTGCTTCAGCCTCTACAGGAGCCTGAGCCCCTTGTAGCGGGGGACCATGTCTGCTCCAGGTGTTCTGGCCCTGTCCCTCAACATTCGGGTAGGCTGTAGAGATAGACAAAACTACCATGATCCTACCTTGCTTGACTGTGCATTTGGAAGAGAAATGGCCTTTGATGTGGGACAGGGAATGCAGCCAGTCACAGCTGGCTCCTTCTCCTGGCAGGTCAACACATTCCAAATAGTGCTCATCACCGATGGCCGGTTCTCCTTCACCATCTTCAACTACGAGGCCATCCTGTGGACCACAGGCACACACGCCAGCAGCGGGGGTGATGCTGATGGCTTGGGAGGCATCGCAGCCCAGGTAGGCCAGGCTAGAATTGGCATCCACCCTGCTCTTCCCGCCAAGGTACCATGGGCAGAAGCGGTAGGCAGACATCCACTGTAGCAGATACCTGCTCCCCTCCACTTCTATGTAGAGATCAATCTGTGGCAGCCACGGTGACTCTGTCCCTCAGGCCTCTCAGTGCCCAGAACCACAAGAGCCCCTGGTACCTTTATCCCTTCCTCCCTGATAAGGGTCTCTGTCCCAAATGTGTCAGGAGGGCTGTGCCCATCCCTAAAGCCATGCTCCTCCACTCACCTCTGGTCCCCAACTTTCTCCTGGGGCAAAACTTCCATGGGCCCTAGGTGAGGCCTAGATGCTGAGTGTGTGAGTGCTGGAAGCTAGGGAGGAAGTCGAGTACCACGCTTGACTGGAGGGACTACTGAAGTCAGCAGACCCCAGCATCTACCGTGTCCTCTGTTTACAAGGCCATCCCTCCACCATCCTTGACTTGGCCATCCTGAGAGAGGCCTCAGTGACTATAAGGAGACCTGCCTCCTTCTCTGCCCCGCTCCCAGGCAGGTTTCAACGCAGGTGATGGGCACCGTTACTTCAACATCCCTGGGTCACGCACAGCAGACATGGCTGAGGTGGAGACCACCACCAACGTGGGCGTGCCCGGGCGCTGGGCGTTTAGAATCGATGATGCCCAGGTGCGCGTGGGGGGCTGCGGCCATACAAGTAAGAGGCTCAGGGAGGGGAGGGCTGAGGAACCCTGTGGCAGTAGGGGTGGGACTCAGGGGCTAGAACCTATCCCCCACCTCCCTAAATCCCCATCCACCCACCCCTGCCCCACAGCCCATCCTGTCCCGTGCCTCAGGTGATCTGGGTCTTCCGGGAGAGGACCAGAGTAGGGTCTCTGCCCACATCCCACCCCTGCCTCCATCTCAGGGGTGAGGGGAGGGAGACCGGGACCTCCATAGGCCTGATGGTACTGACAAGCCAGAGCTTCGTATGGTCCTTCTGGTCTAGTAGAACAAGCAGTCAGGTGACCCTGGTAGCACAGACTGACCATGCACCCACTCAGGAACCCCAGCTCTACCACCATGTGGTCCCTAGAAGGTACCATATCCAGAAACACCCTGTCCACAATGCAGAGGTGTCAAAACACTAGCTGACTGACCAGTAGATCCCTTCATCACAAACCCTCCTAAATCCAAGCTGAAGACATGTCCCTGCCGGGACCCACACACACACTTGTTGGTCATGTGGATGAGCCCACAGAACAGGGTGCTTTTCCTCGGCACTGAGTCCCCTGAAGAGAACTCAGCTGGGAAATTACACAGAGCAGCCACAGGTCAGGGGGACCGTGGGGTGGAGGGGAGATGAGGATGAGTGTACTCAGGACATGCAGGGCTGGGAAGGGGGAAGTTGGCACACACTTGACATGCTGGGTACATAGTAGGCCAGCCTGGGAAGCTGAGCTGAATTCCATGCCATCCCAGTCCCAGAGCAGCAAGTGGAACACTTAAGGAGGCAGAACCCCAGGGCAGCCCCAGCCCTGCTCCTGGCCAGCAGTCAGCTCTGATACTAGGACCTTGGCCTAGTCAAGTGGGCCTGTGGGTGCTGCTTGCAGTGGGGGCTGGGTCAGGTCCCTTGCCAAAGGCTGGAGTATTAGGTTCTGGCAGAGGAGCAAGGGGCACGTATGGGCAGACCATATTTTTGAAGCTGTTACAGCTCAGCTGGAGGGGGACTCTCAGGAGAGCATCCCACCAGATCCTTCCAGGTGCCCCCCCCCCCATTGCAGAGCACCGCCCCCAGGTCTATGGGATAAGACGGAACAAGAAACAGCAGCAGAGATGCCTTGGTACTGTGCTGCGTCTAGGAGCAGGGACGTAGCTATGCTGCAAGCCCCGGGGGCAATTGTGGGGTGTTATAGAAACGTGAGATTGCTCAGAAGGGAGGGCGAACGGTGCCTTAGAGGTGGCGCCTGGTGCATGGAAGTCTAACTCCTAAGCAAACCCAGCTTCTGGCCATGGCTGCAAAGAGCAGCCAAATTTCAAGTAGACCAGGTGAGCACAGTGCTGCTAAATCATCCCAGTTGACAGAAAGGTAAGCTCCCTGATCAGAAGACACCACAGTCTGAAGAGTGTGGGGGACCACTAGTCCTCCCTGGAGTCCTCCTCCTAGCAATAGGCGATTGGAGTCCTTGAGACTTTCTCATCTCCTGCCTATTTGTGATTAACCTCTTATTTCAGGAGCCCAGCCAGAAATTACAGAATGGAGTTTGGGGGTTGCTGAGGTCTCAGGGGAACCCCGGGAGGCCTTCTTAAGAGCCTGTGCTGTGATACACACTGGCTGTGACAGCTTCTCATTTTACACGTGTAGGAACCAGGAGGGTAGCTGAGCAGCCCTAGAAGTGGCCGTGGTAGAAGTAGAAAGGATTAGAGAGATAAGAGGAGTTGTGGGTGCAGGTGATTCTGGGGATGTCTCTCTCCACAGGAAGCCAGAGTCAGAGCCTAGGACATTAAGCCTAGAACAATCAGCAAGAGACCCTGGCAAGGGTACCTGCAGGCAAACTGGGGTCCAGCTCAAAGACCCAGAAACCGAACACAAAGATGCACGGTCACCAATGTCATGGTCACTAAACTGACCCTCTGGTGGAGGGAAGGGAGACGTAGCCATTGCAGGTGGCTCTCCTGCCCACATTCTTGATGCAGTGGCCTGAGGCTTGGGCTCCTTCCTGTGTCCGCAGCCTCTGTGTGCCTGGCCCTGCGTCCGTGCCTCAATGGCGGCAAGTGTATCGATGACTGCGTCACAGGCAACCCCTCCTACACCTGCTCCTGCCTCGTGGGCTTCACAGGGCGGAGATGCCACCTGGGTGAGTCACTGGCACCCAGGTAGGGACAAGGTGCCCATTGATTGCCCTGCACGACATCACGCCAGGCTCAGGGGATACTGACGGTGGCACTGAGGGCCAAGGTCTCCTTGCTTGTGATGGAGAAACTGATGGAGGTCTAAGGCTATGGCCATGTGGCAGTGAGTGCTGTTGCTGCTGCTGCTGCTCCTAGCCACTCTAAGTTAAGGCCTGTCTGGGTTCGGGGCTTAGTCTGTCCCCCACCCCTACCCAAAGCCCTGGCAATTCCTTCACAGTTTCCTCTACTGAGGCCCCAGCCTGCTCCATGTTTCAGATGTAAACGAGTGTGCCTCCCACCCATGCCAAAATGGTGGGACCTGCACCCACGGTGTCAACAGCTTCAGCTGCCAGTGCCCCGTCGGCTTCAAGGGACTCACCTGTGAATCAGGTAAGAAGGCACCGACCCTGCTAGCTGCAAGACACAAGACACACAGCTAGGGGAGAGTGAGACTGAGGACAGCAGAAGGACTTGGCACCAGCGTGGGCAGCCTAGAGAGTTCTGTCACAAGGGAGCGCAGGAGCCCGATGTCTTATGGTGTGGGCAGGAGCAAATATGGGTGAGTGTAGCAAACACAGGCTTCCTGTCCCCAATGCTTCAGAATAGATGAGAGCCCAGGTCCTGCACTGGCCGGGGTCAGAGTCAGGAGTCTTCTGGGTGTGAGAAGGTGGAGGATTTCCGGGGTGAGATGGGATAGCTTTCAGATGGGGAGGGTAAGGCACATGCTCACAGAGCACAAGCACAGGCTTTCTGCCACACTGGCCCTGAACCAGCTGCTCCCTCCAAGGCTGCCACAATCTGGGCAGGTGCAGGGTCGGGTCCTGCTGCTTCTCCACTGTTGCTTTCCAACCATTGGAGCTCTTTGTTTTCACAGTTCCAGCTCATCTGAAGCGTCCCCCAATAGATTCACGCTCCGGGTTCCTACTGTCCACTGGTACCACCTGAGAGCCCTCCTTCTTGCTCTGCACTGTCCCAGAAAGTGGGCATTCTAGCCTCCAGCATCACCATGTGGGCTATTCCAAGGCAGCCCCTGAATGTCAAATACTGTGACCACCATACCCGACCCAGCTCAGCCAAACAGGCACCCCCTTTCACCCCCATTGTGTCCTACATCATCTAGCCATCATTATAAAATACTACTACAGTGTTGTAATGAGGATCCTTAAACTCTACGCACCAACCTTTTGCTAAAGAAATTTTTATGCACTTCCAGATATATAGGTACACAAAATCGCTATATAAATCAAACATTTACTGATGATAAATCATATTGAAATTTATCTTTAAACTACCAAATATACATATAATTTTTACCACTGATTAAAGATGAAAGCAGCCAGGAGTAGTGGTGAATTCCTTTAAAGTCAGAACTTAGGAAGCAGAGGCAAGTAGATCTTTATAAGTTTGGGGTTAGCCTGGTATACATAGAGGGTTCCAGGTCAGCCAAGGCTACGTGGTGAGACCATTTCTCAAAAAATAAGGAGAGGGAAAGAAAATGTGCCCTCAAATTTGAATACTAACAAGGTATATGTGCTTATTTATTTTTACATAAAATTTAAATTGTGGCTGAGTATTTGATAATGCAGGGCATCTTCAGTAATTCAGAGCTGATGAATATTTTGATTTTATAATCATCGATGATAAGAATACTGCTTCACATAAATGTATAGTACAAAGTGACAGAAGTATGTTTAGTGCCATCAGCAATGCTGAAAACAGCCCTGGTCCCAAGCCAAAATTCATGGCGTTTGAGAGATGGCTCAGCAAAGCACTTGCCACTCAAGCATAAGAACCTGAGATGGATTCCTGCAACCCATCTTCAAGATCCAGATGCCTTAGTAGGTACTTGTATCCATCCATTGACAAATAAGATGCGCCCTAGAGCTTACTGGTCAGCCATCCTGCCATCCTACCCTAAATTGGCAACTTCCAAGCCTGACCAAAAAAAAAAAAAACTCAAACTCTCAGGCCAGGCATAGTGATTCAGGCTTTTAATCCCAGCAATAGGGAGGCAGAGGCAGGCAGATCTCTGTGAGTTCAAGGCCAGCCTGTACTACATAGTGAGTTCTAGGACACCCAGGGCTCTGTAGACAAACCCTGTCTCAAAAAAAAAAAGAAAGAAAGAGAGAGGGAGGGAGGGAGGGAGGGAGGAAGGAAGGAAGGAAGGAAGGAAAGAAAGTCGAGTTCTCTCTAAGATCCCACAACTCAAAGATAATACTATAATTTGATACTTCTGTGCTGAGGAAGGATAGTAGGTAAGCACCGAAAGCCTTTGCTTACATAAGACATTGTATTTGCACTAGAAGAAAAGTGTGGTTGGTGAGGGGTTTCAGGCAGGGTTGTTCACTGGTCTTGCCCTGCACGATGGCAGGTGGGGTGTGGAGTGTACACGCTGTGTTCAGCATTAAGGCAGCCCTGAAGCTGAGAGTCAACACAGTGCACACTGCCAAGACCCCCCTCAGAGCCAGGATGCATTTCATTTTGAATTTCTCGTTATGCAGTCAGCAGTACTTTGCTGTTGCAAATTTTTCACAATATCTTGTTTCAGTTTTGCAGCCACATATGGGATTGGCAATGCACAGTTTAAGAACATAGGATTCAGAACGTGTGTTCAAATAGCTTCCATCTCAATACCTCGGTCTAGAAAAACAAGCCTATCAAGATTCATGGTCACAAGAAGCTAAGTGTTAAATTTCAGGGTACACACACACACACACACACACACACACACATTTTTCCTTGAGAAAACTGTAGTTGAATGACACTAAGAAGATTGTACACACACACACACACACGCACGCACACACATACATGAAGGAACGAGTTTGTGAAAGAAATGAAAAGGAAATGTAATTTTTGGTGCAGACAAAGATGGGATTTCCATTTGGGAAGAGGAGTTTGCAGTGACCCCTCAGCTGTCCGCTGTGGACAAGGCTACATTGTTCCAGCCCAAACCAGAGCATGGTTGGTCGAACACATTCCGGGCTAAAGAGCTTTTCCTCAAGCAGGGGCTAGGCCCTACTTGCCCTCCCTGCGACAGCAGAGCTAGGTGTGGGAGCTACTGTGCAGACGAGGGTGAAGGATGCTGCCATGCTGTCCAGGGAGGACTCAGCCTATGAGGTGTGAGAACGGCCCCAGAGGACAGGAGCCGAGCTGGGCAGCAGCCGTTCCTTAGCCACTGAGACAGGCTGGAAGCCCCAAGTCCCAGCAGCACTCTGGATGCATGGCAGAAGCTGGTTCCATTCTCCCTACATCCTGTCCAGCATCCATGCCCCTCCTCCGTTCCAGGTTTGCTGAATGAGAACCAATTCATACAGAGCTTTGGGTACCCTTGGGTACTGCCCTAGCCAGGCTTCCTCCCAGCCTGTCACCTCCCCAGAGACAACCAGTGTAGTAATAAGAGCAGCAGGGCTGCGTCCCCAGCACCCCGGCCGCCTGCTAGCTTATGCCCGAAATAACAACACACAAACTGTATTCATTTAAACACTGCTTGGCCCATTTCTATCTAGCCTCTTCTAGGCTAACACTCGCACCTGGGCTAGCCCATTCTTATAATCTGTATAGCCCACGAGGTGGCTTACCAGGGAGATTCTAGCCTACGTCCATCCTGGGTCGGAGCTTCATCGCGTGCGTCTGCCCAGGAGAGGGGAGCATGGCGTCTCTGCTCCAGAGAGCAGAGCTGTCGAGTCTGAGCTCATTTCCTCTTCCTCCCAGCATTCTGTTCTGTTTACTCCTCCCACCTATGTTTTAACCTATCAGGGCCAGGCAGTTTCTTTATTGCTTAACCAATGGAATCAACAGATTGATATATGACACTCCCACATCAAACCAGGATCCCCTTTCATTGAGCCTATAGCTATCAAGGGTGAGGCCCAGTGCCTGTCCTCAGGCACTTCTGCTCATCAGGCCTCCAATACCCTGTCTACTCATCCTTACTTGTAGCCCAGTCTCCCTGTGACAACAAAGTGTGTCAAAATGGCGGCCAGTGCCAGGCAGAGAGCAGCTCCGCAGCATGTGTGTGCCAGGCTGGGTATACTGGGGCCACCTGTGAGACAGGTGAGTGGCCTACACACAGGATGGGAGGTCGGGGACTCTGGGTGGCAGGTAGTGCTTGGGAGGGCTCCCTTCTTGAGGTTCAATATGGTCACAGTCTGGCTTAAGCTAAGCCCATATCTTTCCTGCCCCAAGATGTGGATGAATGCAGCTCCAACCCATGCCTGAATGGAGGATCATGCGTTGACCTGGTTGGAAACTACAGCTGTGTTTGTGTGGAGCCCTTCGAGGGACCTCGATGTGAGACAGGTAGCTGCCACATCCCCCTCCACCGTGACTGCAGCTTGTACAGTGGCTGTCATTTTAGCCACTCCCGGTTCCTTCCTTCCCGCCCCCCCCCCTTCTCAGCCCTTCCAGAGCCACCAAATGGACAGAGCAGGAAGCAACCAGGTTGGGTAGGTCTTTTCCTCCTTGAGCATTGGTCTCCATCTAGAACACGCAGGAGCAGATGACACCATTCCCAAGTCCGTGTTTTCAACTCAGGATTCTATGCTCTTTAGCACTGTCTCTTTCCTGGCACTGAAGAGCTGTAGGGAACAGACAGAAAACTGGCCTTTGCCACATGGGACCAAGTGTGCTCTTTTCTACCCTACCTCATGTTTTAAATGTTGGCTGTGCCTTGGTAGATCAATGACAAAGCCAACTAGAGATTGCAAAGCATGGTGTAAAAATGCGATAAAAGGCCGGGCTGTGGTGGCACTCACCTTCATTCCCAACACTCAGGGAGGCAGAGGCAGACAGATCTCTGTGAGTTCGAGGCCAGCCTGGTCTACAGAGCTAGTTCTTGGACAGCTAGACAGCTAGGGCTGTTACACAGAGAAACCCTGTCTCTGGCTAACTTTAGGGTTCACAGTTTACCCACAAGGAAGACCCAGATGGATGGCTTCTGTCAGATGCCACAGCAAGAGGCCAGGCCAGGCCCTGGTGAAGGCCTGAGAGCAGAAAGCAGGAGTGGTGCCCTCACTTTCTGACTGTATTCAAATCCCCATTATTTGGTTCAATAACTGCCTTGCTTGAGTAGTTATAGAAAGATCGGTGTAGTGAACTAAATTTATATCAGAAAACAGGCAAGTGCTTTCTATTTTTTTTTTTTGTGAGACAGGGTTTCTCTGTAGCTTTGGTGCCTGTCCTGGAACTAGCTCTTGTAGCCCAGGCTGGCCTCATACTCCCAGAAATCCGCCTGCCTCTGCCTCCCGAGTGCTGGGATTAAAGGTGTGCGCCACCACCGCCCGGCAAGTGCTTTCTATTTTTGTTTTGTTTTGTTATGTTTTTTGTATTTTTCAAGACATGGTTTCTCCGTAGTTTCTGAAACTAGCTCTTGTAGCCCAGGCTGACCTCAAACTCACAGAGATCCGCCCGCCTCTGCCTCCCGAGTGCTGGGATTACAGGCGTGCACCACCACCGCCCGACTGCTTTCTATTTTTGTAAAGAAATATTGTTTTATGCCAAAAAACAATGCTGACAGAGGAGGATTAGTTGAGCCCAAAAGTTAAAATGCCAGCCAGAGCAACATAATGATACTGGTTTTTTTTTTTTTTAAAAAAAAAAGTGTGGTGGGGTGGGAAAAAATCAAAACAGAATAGAGACTTCTACATACTAGTACAGTAAGCTTGTTAAACTTACAAGTATAAACAGTGGGTCTAACTACAAGAAGTTGGTCAGGATTATATATTTTTTAAAAAAGATTGTCACTGGGCAGTGGTGGCACACACCTTTAATCCCAGCACTGGGGATGCAGAGGCAGGTGGATCTCTATGAGTTCAAGGCCAGCCTGGTCTACAAAGTGAGTTCTAGGACAGGCTCCAAAGCTACACAGAGAAACCCTGTGTTGAAAAACCAAAATAAGCAAACAAAAAAAAAAAAACAACAACAAAATCAGATTATCTAATCTGCTGCTAGTTAGCTACCCAGGAAATTCCCCTTTCACAATCAACAGCTAGAAACCCAGACAAAATCTATAAAATTGCTGTCTTCAGCCCTTAGACCACAGCACAGAGTTATCAACCCTAGAGAAGCCCTATCCTTGCTCCCCCAGATCCTGCTTGGGCTATTCCAGGCCATCGTGTGGCCCAAGTGACCAGTCCCTCTGACTTGAGGAGGAAAGTCCAACACAACAGCACCTAAAATGGGGAGGTGGGAAGCAGAGCAGTTGGAGTTCTGGTGGAGGGGAGGATCCTGGCAGCAGGAGGCCCCCTGTCTTGACTTGGCGGGTCTGGGCCAGGGATTCTAGCAGGCTGGCAAAAAACCACTGGAAATCAGGAAACCCAGCAGCTCCTCAGGCTCAACAGGGCTGGGGAGAAATCCAAGGAGCTGTGGAGCTCAGAGAGCCCACACCCTGGGCCAGGGTGGAGCAGAGCCTCTCTTGAGCAGGAGCTACTGTGGAAGAGAGGAAGAAGTTGCTAGAGGACTATACCAGCCTGGACCTGTCCCCAGTAAACCTTAGAAGGAAATGCAAAAGGACCAGCGGACCCCAAGCCTTAACTGTGTGCAGAATAAAATCCTACAGACTTACCACAGAATAACAGGAATCTGACAGAAACCAACACCTAAAATTACCTCAGTGAAGTCATTAGGTATGAATTCAAAGAAGTAAAGTAACCTACAGACAGATGAAAGAATTACTAGGCACAAATAATCAACTAATAAAAATAGGATTAATCTTCTCAAGACTGTTAAGGCAAGGAAACAGGAGATATGTTTAACATTGCTAGCAGTGAAAACTGTGTCTGAATTTCTAGAGTCCAACTGGTAGTAGTAACAGCTGGTGAGACACTGAACAACAACAACAACAACAAAAAGCCAATGAGAGAGAAAATAGAAACAACAGACAATGCAGAGAGTAAGACTGGAAAAAAAATAACTGAGCACCAGGGGCTGTTAAATAACGTGAACATCTGGCATCAGAATCTGAAGTCTGAGAAGAAGAAGGAGATGAGGGAGGGAGTTACACAAACAGTAGTTGTAACCAAAAATTTCCCAAATTTGATGATAATTGTATCCCAGGTTTTTAAGAAATCCACGTGACTCTACAGAGTCTCACTATGACCAGTCTTCTGGACATTAGAGATAAAGAACTCATCTTCAAAGCCGCTGAGAGGAGCAGTGGATGGAGCTGAAGAGATGGCTCAGGAGTTAGGGGCTCTTGTTGGTCTTCTAGTGGACCTGAGTTCCATTCCCAGCATCCATGGTGCTAACAACCAGCTACATCTCCAGTTCCAGAAACCCTCGTCTGGCCTCTGACACTTGAACAAATGTGACATACATGTAATCATAAATAAAAGTAAACCATTTTCTAAACATAAGTCAACAGAAGTGTTTCACGTCTAGAGAAGCATGAACAACAGGAGATGCTCACTAGGAGCCAGGCAAGCCCAGCATCACCAGCCTAGTGCTACAGAACTACATTCCAGAACCGAGGAGAGATGAATACCTGCTTGCAGAAGCATTCAACAGCATGCCTTTCTCCTGAAGTGTTAAAGAAGCCGGGTGGAGGTGGCACACACCTTTATCCCGGCCAGATCTCTGGGTTAGAGGCCAGCCTGGTTTACAGAGCGAGTTCCAGGACAGTCAGGACTACACAGAGAAATCCTGACTCAAAAAACAAAACAAAAACAAAAAAAAAGAGAGATGTTAAATGAAATTCTTTAGACAGAAGAAAATGATCTAAGACAAAAACATAGATCTACTCAGAAGAACAGAATGTGAGACGCCCAATGTGAGAACTCACAGAGGCCAGGTTCTCTTCCATATCCAGCAGCCATGGCTGCTCTTGCCCCGGCATTCTCGTCTCTCTCAAGTGGCTGCTACTTACCACTGTCTTTCTCGTAGGAAGCTACCCAGTGCCTTCCCCCTGCCTCTCCGACCCCTGCCAGAACGGGGGCACCTGTGTGGATGCGGATCCGGGATACGTGTGCGAGTGCCCTGAAGGCTTCATGGGCTTGGACTGCACAGAGAGTATGTTGGGGCTGCCGGGGCTGTGTCCCAGGGCTGGGGCAGGAGAAGTGGGGGATGGGCTGCCTATGGCAACATCCTCCCTTGGGTTATACATGCAGGAAACTCTACGAGGGAAAAAATGTGTGAGTGTGTGTGTGCTCAGTTGTTTTGTTTGGCGGGGGAGGGGGGGCGTAGGATTGGCCAGGGTTAAGAGAGAGAAGATTTCACCCATGGAAGCTTCTCTCTTGTCCCCATGCAGGGATCCCCAATGACTGTGAGTGCCGGAACGGAGGCAGGTGCTTGGGTGCCAACACCACCCTCTGCCAGTGTCCTCCGGGCTTCTTCGGGCTCCTTTGTGAATTTGGTAGGTTTTCTGCCGGATCCCTGGATATCATTAGCAGGGTCACTGGGTCTTGGAGGCGGGGGAGCACCTTCGTCAAGGAAACAAGGTCCTCGGGAGGTGAGTGGGCACTGAAGGAGCTTCTTCCTTCGCAGAAGTCACAGCCACACCCTGCAACATGAACACGCAGTGTCCAGACGGAGGCTACTGCATGGAGTACGGCGGGAGCTACCTCTGCGTCTGCCACACAGACCACAACATCAGCCACTGTGAGTGGCTAGGGGCAGGCCACCAGGGATCCTGGACAGTGGTCTAGCAGGAGAGGTGCAGGTGATGCCACACAGCCAGGATTAACAGAGATGACGACAGCTTCACTTGCATGGGTTGCAGGGGTCTCCTTCACTCCCTGGGGGAAAAGATTTTGACAAAGATACGGTACCACAAGCTACCGTCCCTCAGCCCTTAATGCATACAATTTTGTGTGACCGATGCATTTACTACCATTAGTGTAAAGGCACTGATCGGTTAAGTGCTATGGGTCAGAGATACCTTGTTGGATAGGAAGCTTGAATGCTGCTAAAATCAAAGAGCAGGAGAAACTGGGGCGGGGAGCTTGAGGCCTTAGGGCTAAGGTGAGCAATGCAGACGCGACTCACGCAGAATATATTTTAAGAGGCCTTGGTTTCAGCCAGAAGGGATGCCAAGGTGACCCTAGCAGACCCATGCTCCAGGACAGCATTTCCCCTCTTCCCCCAGCTCTGCCGTCACCCTGCGATTCAGACCCTTGCTTTAATGGAGGCTCCTGTGATGCCCACGACGACTCCTACACATGCGAGTGTCCCCGTGGATTCCACGGCAGGCACTGCGAGAAAGGTGACGTGTACGCGGGACAGGGAGGGAAGTGGGGTGAGGGATGGGGCGGGGTGTGCTCTGGAGCGCAGCTGGGGGCGGGGCGGGGCGGGTCCGGGTGAGGAGGGGGCGGGGCGTGCGCCGTCCCTGTCTCCGCCGTCAGCACCACGGAGAGCTCCCAGCCCGCAAGCCCGCAAGCCCACAGCTGTTGGTGCGCTGTCTCATCATTCTCTCTCTTTCCCCGGAGATTCCCTTGGGTTCTTTGCTCCAAGGAGCTCTTTGCTCCATCTAGGGCAGCATGTGCCTCGCCGTCTTTGACAGTTAATTTTTTCGTCACTTTGGTCACAGCACTTCGTCACTGGTTTGCATGCCTCTCAAGAGGCTTCATTTTTCCCCTCAGCATTTTTCCAAATAGATTTTAGAATGATTATATTGAACTTAAATTTTTTTCCATTCCGATTTTGTTAAATTTAGTTTAACGTAGAGGATGCAGACATTTTACATTTATCCACTTAGAATTTAAGTGTTCTTCCATAATGCATTGGAGGTGTTGCCATCTCCACCATTTTCCCTTCCGTGCAATAACACACGGTGACACACGCTCTCACAAACCAAGCATCTCAGACATCCCCTTGACTTTGTAACCTGATGCGGTGCTATGGGCATCCCACAGCCTGGCTGTTTGGGAGAGCCAAGACCATAGTGGATATATGAGGAGCCGCCCATATCACCTCCCCTTTTGTGTACCAGGGGTGTCTGAGACCCTCGCAGCTGCCTCCGTCCCTGAAGTAGCAGAGAGGGCTACCCCTGAAACCCCATCTGCTCTGAGGGGGGACCTGTGCATTTGCTAAGGTGGCATAGAAATGATGAGACAGAGACACTTGTCCCTGTAAGCCTAGCTTGGAGAGGGTGTGGTCTCTGGGAAGGATATCCCAGAGAGCTGTGAATTCTGTGGCTGGGGGTCCAGAGTAGATTCTGGAAGGGTCCTGTATGTGTCTGCTGTGACTTGGGGCTCAATTCTCCAGTAAAGAGAGAACCGGCAGGGTTAGGGCTTACAGCCTGTGAGCTTCACCCACGCTTTGTTTAAACCTGGCTAATTTAGCTCCTGCTATGTTGGGTCTTGGGGCATAGCTGAGAAGCAGGTCTGACTTCAGGCCCATCCAGTACCTACCAAAGGGTTGGAAAAGCAGAGTACAGTAACAGGAACTCTGTATCGCTAAGGAGGCTGACCCACGTTTCACCGTCTTTCTCTGTCTTTGCACATAGCCCGGCCACACCTCTGCAGCTCGGGGCCCTGCCGGAATGGGGGCACATGCAAAGAAACAGGCAATGAGTACCACTGCACCTGCCCTTATCGCTTCACCGGGAGACACTGTGAGATTGGTGCGGCCCCAGGGCAGGGGTGGATGGTGAGGGACATGCTCTGAGCGAGGGCCGAGCCAGCCAGAATCCAGCTGGCCAACCCCTGACCGCCATACACCTGCTTCTCAGGAACACCTTCCTGAAGTCTTGTTTCTGGGACAGTGGGAACTTGGAGAGGTTGGTGTCTATAACATTTGACTGTGATAGGTATCTTCTGCCTCCAGGAAAGCCAGACTCCTGCGCCTCTGGTCCCTGTCACAATGGTGGCACTTGCTTTCACTACATTGGCAAATACAAGTGTGATTGCCCTCCAGGCTTCTCTGGGCGGCACTGTGAGATAGGTAAGGTGACAGAAGCAGAGATCCTCTCCTGGGCACATGGGAAAACTGGATCAAGGGGCAGAACTGGGCTGGGAGGGGTAGGCAGTGAGCTGAGTACAGGACGCGGGATGCCTCTATTCAATGCATGCCTCCGTACAACGCCGAGGACCTCTAGAGAAACATGGTGAAAAGGGTCTTCTGTGTTCTTGCAGCCCCCTCCCCCTGCTTCCGGAGCCCATGCATGAATGGGGGTACCTGTGAGGATCTAGGAGCAGATTTCTTCTGCCACTGCCAGCCAGGGTATACAGGACACCGGTGTCAGGCAGGTGAGAGCCAGGTGGGTGGGCTGGGAGCGTGGCATCTTTTGCAGATCCCCTAAGAGCTGGGCAGGGTAGGGAGGGTGTCCTGGTTACTTTGCTGCTGCTGTGACCTAGCACCATGACCAAGGCAGCTTACAGACAGGTTTATTGGGAGTTTACAGTTCTTAGGGTGAGTCCATGACCATCATGGTAGGGAGCATGGCAGCAGGCAGACATGGTGCCGGGGCAGTAGCTGAGAGCTTACTGATACACAAGCATGAGGCAGAAAGAGAAAACTAACTGGGAATAGCATTGGCTTTTGAAACCTCAGAGCCTGGCTCCAGTGATACAAACTCTATCAACACCACACCTCCTAATCCTTCCCAAACAGTTCCACCAACTGGGGACCCAGTGTTTAATTATAAGCCTATGGGGGCTATTCTCATTCAAACTACTGTGGGAAAGGGAGAATCAGTTTCAGAGGTGTCAGCCCCCAGAAGCCAAGCCCTGTCCCCTTGAGCAGGTGATGTAGACATCAGGCCTCCCTGGTCACATGGATAGAATAGAGACTGGACTAAGTGGACATGCTGACGCTCAGGGAATGCTGATGTTCTCTTGCAGAGGTGGACTGTGGTCGCCCTGAGGAGGTGAAGCATGCAACTATGCGCTTCAATGGGACTCACATGGGCTCAGTGGCCCTGTACACATGTGACCGTGGCTTCAGCCTGACTGCTCTCAGCCACATGCGTGTCTGCCAGCCACAAGGTGTCTGGAGTCAGCCTCCCCAGTGCATTGGTGATTCTGTGGGCCCTCAGGGATGGGTGGGCAGGGCCAACACCTTTCCCTCACAGCCATATGCAGTTATATAGAGCCTGCACGCAAGCCCCTCCCCCACCTCCTCTGTAAATGGAGGCTGTACATCCTGTGGAGACACAGGTGATTGCTATCAGCTTTGTTCTGCGCTAGTCCTATTTAGAGCATCCCTGTCCTCGGAGAGACCGTGAGCAGAGTGAACAGCAGCTGCAGACCCACAACTGCAGACAAAGTAGCTGAGGTCAAGAGTTAATCCAAGCGCAGGGTCCGAAGAAAGCAGATCTCAGTTCAGGGCCCCACCCAGAGTTGTAGAATCAAGCTGTCTTTAAGCAAAATCCTAGCCCTCACCTATGCACTGAGGGAATGCTATTCCAAGCAGCATCCTCTCCAGGGTCATCCTGTGAAGCTCTTACCATGGCTGCAAGGGCATGGCATCTGCCATCAGGAACCGTGTGATCATAAGGCAGTTCTCACGACACCTACACTGGGACAGCACTTACGACAATTACCATTTCCCAAATGCCTGGAGAAGCCCACCCCACTGTGTAGCCCCACAAAGATAAAGAGTTCTGAAGAGGCCGATCTGGCCTCAGGCATCTATCCTGCCCTCCCAAGTTGCATGGTGCCTCTCTCAGTTCTACTCCCCCCTCCCCCCCCCCGAACATGTTGCCAGGTATGGAGCCCTGGAGAGAAGAAGGTTCCAGCAAGGAAAAGAGATCCTGAGAAGCACAGCCTCCAAAAGCCATGATGGGTCCATGGGGCAGCTATCAGTGGAGACAGAAATAGAGAAGATGGCTACACAGCATAAAAGGATACTCGTCCACTGTACACATTTTATATTGCACCGTATATAGTGACAGTAGGCAAAAGGTCATATGACGTTGGCCATGTACAAAGGGATCAGTAGAAATCAAGTAGAAAGATGAGATTTTAAACCACAATAATTAAAATAACCAGCGTAATTTATTAGTAAATATTGATGAAGAATAAGTCAGTAAGTTGAAAGACAGTCAGGAGAACTTCCCCAGGAAAAAAAAAAAAGAGCAGCAGGTTATGTACCAAAGAAAGTGTAGAGCCTGGAGGGGAGCAGCAGCATCAAGCCAGAGATGTCAGAATATCATGGGGGTAACAGTAAAACCTTGACTAGCCAGGGGGGACAGCATGGTGAAGGAATCACCTCAGCATCAGACTTCTCAACAACAGTGTCAGAGGGGAGAGAGAACGTTCTTTTCAGGGGCACTTGGGTGAGGACAGACAATCACCCTGGCTGAACTGGAGGTAAACACCATGAGACCTGTAGACTCACACCTGTGAACCTCTCAGAACTGACAGTCCAGAATGTCAAGCGTCCTTTCCTATGTCAGAGAGGCTGCTGGCGCTTTTCTCTCAGGACAGGGAACCACCCTGAGTAGGGGTGATAGGGAAGGGGAGATGAGCCACAAAGCAGGGCAAATCCCGTAGGGCCGGCCCAGTGCGGTGATGGCAGAGATGCTGAAGTCCCCAGAGCAAGTCTTCACACAGCCTGCCACATGCCTGTGAAACCCGCACAGGTCTGAAGACAACCACCCCATTCTCCCACAAGCCTGAGACCCGAAACCCAGCAGGAGAGGCCTGCTCCAGCCCTTAAGAATTTAAACTAACCCCCAGACGCCTCCAGCAACAGTGAATGACCCAGTAACTTTAGAGGCAGGCAGATCAGCCTGCAGGCTGCAGGGCAGAGAATAGCTTTCCAGCCCAGGGAAGAAATGCCCTACTTAGGTCTGTACTGTGTTTACCCTATGCTGGAGGAACAAGAAATCACAACAGATAATCTAGGAAAGAAATTATTAAAACAGGTCTACAAATGCCCCAGATATTGGAACTCACAAGCAAGGACTTTAAAATGTCACTATTACACTATTAAAAGAAAGAAAAGAAAGAAAGAAAGAAAGAAAGAAAGAAAGAAAGAAAGAAAGAAGAAAGAAAGAAAGAAAGAAACAGCTGGATGGTGGTGCATGCCCTTAATCCCAGCACTCAGAAGGCAGAGGCAGGTGGATCTCTGTGAGTTCAAGGCCAGCCTGGTCTCCCAAGCAAGTTCCAGGACAGCCAGGACTATTGTGCAGAGAAACCCTGTCTTGAAAAAAAAAACAAAACAAAAAAAAGGAAGGAAAGAAGAAAGAAAGAAAGAAAGGATCCAGCTGAACGAGATAAAAAAGAAATTTAAATGACAAAATAGAGACTCTAAACTGAAAATGCAACATTATGATAATTACTGGGATAGGCTGGTTTAAACTGGATTTCCAACAGAATGGACACAGTAGGAAAAACAATCACAGCATAACAAAATTGTACAAACTGCAAATCAGAGAGAAAATAATTTAAGTGAATTATAAATTGTGAAAAATTAATTTCTAAATGACAGACTATTTGTTGAGAATAGTATTGCCTTAATTCCAAACTACATAGGCATTATAAAATTTGAGATTATAGACTAATATTCCTGAGGATAAAGACAAAAAACTTTAATGGAATATTACTAAATCAAACCTAGTATCACAAAAAAGACTAATGTCTCCTCTCTCGGCAAGTCGGATTATCTCAGGAGCAAAGGCTGGCACAGCATCTGAAAGTTGATCCACATTCACAATATTAGGAAACAGGAGAAACCATGTGATTCTCATTTGCTCCAGGACAATCTCCCCGCAGACCTTAGCTATGATAAAACAAACTCCTCACCAACTAAAAACAGAAAGGCATTTTTTCCTCATTCAGATTAAGAGCATCCATGAAAACTCTACAGCCAACAAAGATTAATGGTGGAAGGATGCCCACCACAGGGAAAGGCCACCCCGCCATGGCTTTCCCACATTGTCCAAGAGGTCCTGCTAAGGTGAGACGCTGCCATAGAAGGCTTAGCCATCAGCAAGGAAAGGAGGGGTCAGCTGTGTGCACAGAAAACCCTAAGCAGATGCTACCAGAGAAGCTGCTGACACAGCCCACAGGTGAATGAGATTACAGGAAATGAGGCAGGCTGTAGGACAGTCCAGTTCCCATAGTCTCACCGGGAACATTTGGAGAATGCTGTAGAATGGTGCTGTGCGCAGCAGCGTCGGAGCCACAGCCTCTGCGTGTGTAAGAAGAATTACGTGAAAGCTAAGGCTAAAAGGTGCAGAGAAAGCAGATGGGGAAAATGTTCCAGACAGCTAGAATAACGTGGTATGCATCTGATGATTACAGCATTTGTTTCCAGTCATTAATAACAGTGGTTGACTGGGGGAGGGGCAGAGACTTACATATCACTTTTGTGTGGGAAATATTGGTTCACATCTTTTTTGCTTGAAGGCAGAAAGATTCCTTGGACCACAAAAAAACCATGCAAAAGAAAGAAATGGACAAATTGGGGTATGTAAAAATTAGGAAGTTAAAGCTTTGAAGAAAGTAACAGAAAGCGAGAGGATGTGTATGTATGACTATAGATAGGTCAGAGAGGTCTCAAGACAGAGACAGACAGAGGACCAACTTCAAGACTACTTGAAGAAGAGCTGTAGGAGGCCAACGGACATGGAAATGAGCATTTTACTTTGCAGTAATCAGGGAAATGTAACTGCCAATCAAGCTGCTAGATGCATTTTGCTGGCCACATCTGAGAAGTCCGGAAGCCTGTTGGTGAGAACATGGACAACAAATTGTCTTATCCGTCACTAGAGGGACTAGAAAGTTGCCAGAAACGCTTGGAAATGATTTGGCAATTTGCTTGTTGAGCTGACTACCAATACAGCCTATGTCCTAACATAGTAAACCTGAGAAACTCACCTATCTACACCAGGTTATTTGGAGAACTTTTACAGCAGCAGCCTTTGTAGTTACCAGAAAGAGAAAAAAAAAAATCTCTAGCGCCAACTCAAGTGTTCGTCAATAAGAAGTAAGATACAATCAACTTTGGAGCATTAACAGCAGAGGCAGCAGTGAACCACAGGGACCCACACAATATGGAGGTCTCCCACTAATGAAAGGTTAAGTGGGAAAGAACGCCAATCATGGCACTCTGTCAAAGTTCAGAAGCAACAAAATCAAAGCCATGTCTTGTTCAGGTAATTCAAAAAAGTTTAGGAACTGATTTGAGGCCTGGGAATGGTGGCACACGCCTTTAATCTCAATACTCCAGAGACAGAGGCAGGAGGATCTATGAGTTCAAGCCCAGACTAGTTCACAAAAAGAGTTACAGGCTAACCACAGCTACATAGTGAAATCCTGTCTCCAAAAGTAAGTTTAAAACATAATTTTAAAGAGACCAAGAAATGACAAACATTGGGTGTCGTACAGCAGGGAGGGACCTGTAAGCCGATGGGAAGTATCACTCTGGCTTCTGGTCCCAGCACTGCTAGTCACCACCATTGATTTCTTTCTTAAAATGATGTTTAGATTTCTTTACCTTACGTGTGTTAGTGTTTTGCCTGCATTTATGTGTGTACGCCATGCGTGTACCCGAGGAGGCAAAGAGAGGACACTGGATCCTCTGGAACTGGAGTTACAGAGCCACCATGCGGGTGCTGGAACCGAACCTGGGTCCTCTGTGAGAGCAATAGGTGCCCTTAAGCGCTGAAGTGTCTCTGCGGCCCCCACCATTTATTTACTTCTCAAGTGTGACATTAGACTTTTCTCAGATCGAACATTCAAATTCAGGAGCACAACTTCCGGTTTAAAAGCAGCAGGTGTTGTTTTAAAGCTACAAACTGTCCCCGAAACATGCTAGTTTCACGTTGTGTCTGCTACAGACAGAAATAGCAAGGTCAGACATAAGGCATTTCCTGCCAAGCCTGGGAGGCTGTGGGTCCAGCAGGTTTTCTGGGAGACTCTTGAGTGGTTCAGAAGCAACCCCAGTCATTGTGTAGCTAAGAGCCGGGCATGAGACCTCTACAGATGACCCTGATTTGGCCTAAGCATCAAGGGGTACTGTAAACTTGTCCCGGGCCTCGATGCTACTTTCTAACCATTTGCATCTAGAGTAATAATGGCTGCCTTGCTTTGTTCTTGGGATCTCTCCTTAGAAATAGATGAGTGCCGGTCTCAGCCATGCCTGCATGGAGGCTCCTGCCAGGACCTCACCGCTGCTTACCAGTGCCTCTGCAGCCCAGGGTATGAAGGAGTCCACTGTGAGCTAGGTAAGAGGTCTGCTCAAGACACTGGGGTTCCCCAGCATGGCTGCCTCGTTCCACCACTCCTTCCCTTGGACAGAGCTCTGCCTAAGTAACCATCCCATCCCCTCTGGCTCTCGAGGATCATTCTTATGGTCAGGATAGATTTTAAAACGTCTCTGTCCCCTCCTGCCCTGGGGACTGAGAGCTCATCTGAAAATCCTTGGCCTAGGAATCAGACTCAGGCCTGGGGGTGGGGCAGAGGAGATGGACATGTTGGAGAGAGCAGAGGCCTGACCAGTATATGACAGGATGAGACCTGCATCCCTCGTGCCTGAGTGGGGCGCTAAGCCCCAAAACAGAGACGCTGGCTTCTGGAAGGGCAAAGCCTGGGAGCTGTTCCCAGTTGTATGCTAGAGCGCATTCAAGCATGGAGGACAGAAGCAGCCACAAGGATGTTAGGGATGCTTCATTAGAGACAGGCAATATACCAACCAAGAAGGAACAAGTGTTAGTGACAGAAGAAAGGCTGTGGTCCAGAGTTGGGACCCCTGGGACTGAGACCTCGGGGCCTTGCTGATCGTCAGGGAGCAATTAGAATCCTGGGGGACATGCAGGGAGCTCCAGCATGAGCCAGTACCATCCCCTGTCTATGCAGAGACAGACGAGTGCCAAGCACAGCCCTGTAGAAATGGAGGCTCCTGCAGGGACCTCCCAGGAGCTTTTATCTGCCAGTGCCCTGAAGGTTTCACTGGAGTCCACTGCGAAACAGGTAGGGTTCTTTCAGGTGGGTCCCACAGAACCAGGGCTGCTAGGAGATCGGAGGGAAGTCAGGAGCCATCCTCTTGCTGGACAAGCCACCCAGGGAAAGAAACCCCCCAAGGCTGTGGTGACCTGGAGGGAGGAAGGAAACTGGGTGGTGGGAGGGATCCCCGAGAGCCCCTCCTACCCACAGGTGCACCATACCCCTCTCCTGGCCACTGCTCCTTGCCTCCCCCCTATCCCTTCTTCCCGCTGTACTCTCCTCCCTCCCCCAGAGTCCCTCCCTGCAGCTCGGGCCAACCCTTTGGGTGTTCTCCAGAGGTGGACGCCTGTGCCTCCAGCCCCTGCCAGCACGGAGGCCGGTGTGAGGACGGTGGTGGGGCCTACCTGTGCGTGTGTCCAGAGGGCTTCTTTGGCTACCACTGCGAGACAGGTAGGATCTCAGGCCTCTCTGCCCACTGGGGGCCCTTCCCTAGCCCTCTGATCTCCTTGGTGGCCCTGTTTGCTGCCTTCACCTTCCTCCACTTCCACTTCCAGGATGACAGGCTCAGTCCATAGCTCCACATCCACCCTAACTGGCTCTGCTGTCCCTGGAGAGGCCGAGCTTACAGCCCCAGGGACCCACACTCACTGTCATTTCTGGGGAGAACTCTCTCCCCTATTAGCACATGGTAGGTCCCTCAGCCAGGCCTTTCCTGGCACTGGTACTGGTACTGGTAGCAGCTTATCCCTGCTCACCATTGCTCCCAGCACCAGAGTACTACTGGACAGCATTCTAGTCCATTCTAGAATGGTCTCTATCTCAGCCTGAAACAGAGCCCCTCCTGGATGGGAGCACTGACTTAGAGCCAAGACTGTTTTGGCTATGCAATGCCTGGCAGGTAGCACTTAGCTATACAAGGCACAGAGAGACAGCAGATGCCATGACACCACCCCACTCCTCCCCGACTTACGTCACCTATGCAACAAAAGGCCTAGGTACAAAAAAAAAAAAAAAAGAAAAAGAAAAAACAATTCCCCTTCTCACTGCTATTCCCCCCCCCCTCAGTGAGTGACCCCTGCTTCTCTAGCCCCTGTGGGGGCCGCGGCTACTGCTTGGCCAGCAACGGGTCCCACAGCTGTACCTGCAAAGTGGGCTACACAGGCAAGGACTGCACCAAAGGTGAGGGCCAGGAGCTCCGGGAAGGAGGATGGAGGAGCAAGGGGGCCAGAAGGTAGGCCAGGGGGCAAGTGGGAAAGATGGGCAGACAGATGCTGACCTAGGTCCCCTTCTTGAGAGCAGGGAGGTGGTACCAACAGCCACACATGTGGAAACACAGACTTCCAAGGGTCATGGCAGCCCAAATGAGAAGTCTCCCTGCCAGCAATGGCCTGGGTGACCAAGCCCCAGAACCAATCTAGGTGACTTGACTGGGGAGCTGCTCTTTTAAGCTTAAAGTCTAACCCCTGCACCTTCTTTGTGTTTGGTGACAACTCTGAAGAGCTCCTCCCACCAACAGCTCTCAGGGTAGAGAGGGTGGAGGAGAGTGGGGTCTCCATCTCCTGGAGCCCACCTGAGGGCACCATGGCCAGACAGGTGCTGGACGGCTACGCGGTCACCTACGCCTCCTCGGACGGATCCTCCCGGCGCACAGACTTCGTGGACCGGAGCCGCTCCTCTCACCAGCTGCGAGCCCTAGCAGCCGGCCGTGCCTACAATATCTCTGTTTTCTCCGTCAAACGAAACACCAACAACAAAAACGACATCAGCAGGCCCGCAGCGCTGCTCACCCGCACCCGTGAGTTCCTGAAGGTGTCCTGGCCACCGCTGCCCAGGGGAGGAACCTGTCCCTACCTATGGTTTAGTGGACATCTCTGTGTGAGGGCTGCCCTTCCTATTGGGTAGATCAGAGATCAGGTAGAAAGGAGCAGGCACTGGGCTGGGCAATGAGGAGCAGGAGATGTGGCATCAACTGAGCATCCTGTGGCCCTCCAGGACCCCGCCCTGTGGAAGACTTTGAGGTCACCAACATTTCAGCCAATGCCATCTCAGTGCAGTGGGCTCTCCACAGGATCCAGCATGCTACTGTCAGCAGGGTTCGAGTGTCCATCCTCTACCCTGAGGCCTCAGTGGCCCAGTCCACTGAGGTGGACAGGAGTGTGGACCGACTCACATTTGGGTAAGAGAAGCCTCAGGAACACAGGGCCCAGGGTGTTGTTTGTGTATCCATACACTTACCATCCTTCACCTGAGTGGGGCTGGGGCCTGAGTGAGCCAGCCTCACTGGGGACATGTGCATGTGCGTGTGTGTGTACTGTCCTACCTCGTGTAGCCCCAAGCCACTACAAACAGCAGTACTCTGACAGCATTGCAAGTACCCCAGAAAGTATAAGAATGCCCTAAAATCCAGGTTTGTTCTAGGTTTGTAGGCGTGTCCTTCACAGAATTGTCCAAACAATCTTTTTATTTTTTTTTAGAGTTACCTTTTTTAATTTTATGTGGATAAGTGTTTTGCTCTCACAAGCGTCTGTGCACCTTGTACCAGAGAGGACTCCTAAAACTGAAGTTGTGGATGGTTGTGAGCCACCATGTGGGTGCTGGGGATGGAACCCAGACCCTCTGCAAGAACAAGTGCTCTTACCCACTGAGCCACCTTCCCAGCCCTCTCAAGACCTCTTTCCTAAGCTTCTTGTTCCTTCTTGCAAACCTGTCCAGCTGTGCTGAGGACAGGCTGTCTTTGTTCATGGCCTCCTGGGTTCTTTTCTTCATCTCTCTGCAGACCGCCTGTCTCTTCAGTCCACTTGTTATAGACTGTGCTCCCGTCTTGCGGCACATCTCCCCTTCCATCTTGGCCTTACCTCCGATGTAGCTGCTTAGGTCTCTGTCAGTAGATCTGCATCATGTCTTCTTAGGCAGTTCCTGACCGCTTCTCTTCTCTTTGAATGTGCCATTCTTCTATCGTGATTTTGTTTTTACTAAAACTGCGCATTTGAACCAGGAGATGCAGAACTCCAGGACTGATTCTCCTCTTCCATTTTGTTTTGGTTTTAAGTGTTTTGTCCCTTGGTTTGCATGGTCACTTTCCCCATCTCCTCTGGATATGCAGCTGGTGTTGGAATACCCTGCTCCTTAATGCCTGGCTCCCCAAATAGGAAGAAAAGAAAATTGAAGTTGGCAGAGGGGCACTGGCTTTTGAATTCTCTGGATGTTACATCACTGGGTGCGATGGGTCTAGCAACAGTGGAGGGGGGCAACAACTGTGGCCCCCGTGTCCTCTGTGGTCAGAAGCAGCAAGTGGAGACCCCTATCACTTAGAGTGAGGTTTCTTTCTGCCCTGCCAGCATTCTGAAGGTTGCTCTAAAAGCCAGACCACGGCCGTTACATGGATCCACACAGACTTTCTTGGGTTGTCCCATTTCTGGACTTCCCATCTGAACATTTGTCCTCTGACCACACTGTGGCTATGTCCAGACGCTTCTCTCATTTCACTAGGTAGTGGGGAAACCTCCCAACCCTGGACCAGTACAGTTCAAGGGCTGACCGCTGATCTGCCCCTCATGGAGGTGCCCTCAGCCACTAGCAGCAAAATACCCCATTCCTGGTCACACAGAACTAGCCACAGACCCCTATATGTCCCTCTCTTCCTTGCCCCCTTCTGTCAGGGACCTGCTGCCAGGAAGAAGATACACTGTGCGGCTAACCACCCTCAGTGGGCCTGGGGGAGCCGAACACCCCACTGAGAGCCTGGCCTCAGCACCACTGAATGTGTGGACCCGTAAGTAGACAGGCACAGTTTCTCCCTGCAGTCCTCTGTCACACTTGGCACCCTCCTGACATTTTATCCTTTCCAAAGTGTCCTTATACTATAAGCCCAGCCCTTGACCTCCCCGAGATTTCTTCCCCAAGGCAGAAGCCCTCTGCTTACAAGTTCCCCATGTTCTCCCAGGGTGACAGTGTCACCAGTAACCAAGGCTGGTTTCAGATGCAGCTCCTGATCCCTCTCAGATCTTAGGTGATGTTTTTGCCAGATGCCCTTTGACCTGACTCTTGCTTTCTCCCTCTGTCCATTCCTCGTTCAGGGCCTTTGCCTCCAGCGAACCTGACTGCCTCTCGAGTCACAGACACCTCTGCCCACATGGTATGGGACGCCCCCGCTCCAGGTATCTCACTGGAGGCTTATGTCATCAATGTGACTACCAGTCAGAGCACCAAGAGCCGCTACATCCCCAACGGGAAGCTGGTGTCCTACACGGTGCGGGACCTGCTGCCAGGTCGGCGGTACCAGCTCTCAGTTACGGCTGTGCAGAGCACGGAGCAGGGCCAGCTGCACAGCGAGCCTGCCCACCTCTACATCATCACCTGTGAGTGCTCTGACAGGAGGGGGCTGGGAGCTGGTCAGACCCACAGCTGCTGCCTGATGTTCTTGGGGTGTGGTGTCCTTGCCCAGAGGAGGCAGAATAGACAACTGGCATGGGCCATTCCTGGGAATAGAGGCACAGGCACAAGAATGGTGACTTTTTACCCATGGGTAAGAAAGGACAATTGACAAGGTTAGCAATCTGGAAATACATGTTTGTCAAGCCTTCACCAATCCAATCCAGGCAGCCTTGGCAGCAAATGCAGGACCTCATCCTGAAAGAGCCACCAAGCAGGCAACAAGGAAGAGGACCAGGCCTGACCCAAAAGGAGTCACTGAACATGAGCACAAGAGGGGCCAGAGACCTCAGGTGGCTTTGGGAGGACAGGAAGGGACATTTGGACAGAGAAGCGCAAAAGCGAAAAGCTGAGGTGGGACTTTCAGGTCCCAAGGGTGACAGGGCGCCCTGCGGGAACCCATAAGTGTCCCTCGTGCCCTTTATTACATTCTCAAACCTCACACAAGGTGCGTGAAAAGCTTCAGCGGGGCTGAGCACAGTGAGAGGACAGGCAGCCGAACCTAAGAGCAGGGCAATGGAAGTCTTCCTAGGCCCCTCCTCCTTCCTCTTCCCAGCCCAGGAGGTTACTCTGTGAACACTACAGCCACTGATACAGTGCTTATCTGCGATGCTAATTCTCAGTCCCAACCCTGCCATTCTACTAGCTGGGCTCCAGGCAAACCTGCCAGGTAGAAAGCCAGGTGGGGTCTCACTGTGAGCCTGTCATTACAACAGGTCAGAGCCAGGATGGGGCAGATAAAGGAGGAGGCAGAAAGACACTCTAGGGTGACAAGGCCTGAAGCTGCCCATCAGGAAAACTGCTGACTCACAAGGCTGTGATCCAATCTGCTTAGCAGATGAAGGCTCTGCCAGGGCGTGTCAGGGAGCTGGCCTTCTAGGCCAGCGTGTCTGTTGCAGCACAAATGCATGGCCTCTGCTTAAAAAGGATATAGCAGATGATACAGGCTTCTTTGTTGTGATTGGAGCGGCAGCGGGCTGCATCCTGCCACCTGGCTAGCATTACCCGAAATAATTACACGGAAACTGTATTCTTTTAAACACTGCCTGGCCAATTAGTTATAACCTCTTATTGGCTAACTCTTACATATTGATCTAACCCATTTCTAATATCCGTATTGCCACTTGAGTGTGGCTTACCGAGACGAGTCTAATGGGCATCCATCTCGGAGCGGAGAATCATGGCGACTGCCTGACTCAGCTTCTTTCTCCCAGCATTCTGTCTGTCTACTCCGCCTACCTAATTTTCTGTCCTATTAAAGGGCCAAGGCAGTTTCTTTATTTAACCAATGAAATCAACACAAAACAGAAGACTCCCACATCACTTCTTGGGCAACCTGTACCCCTCTCTGCCCTTGCCTAAGCAGAGCCGGGTGTGAGCTGCCACTTTCCTGCAGCAGAGACAGGGACACCAGGCGACCTAGTTGGTGGCTTCTTCTCCTTCCTTTTCTGCAGCCTCCAGGGATGGCACTGACAGACGTTGGCACCAGGGAGGACACCATCTACGGATGCTCAGAAACAGACCGGCCCCTGTGCGCCTTCCAGAGCTGCGCCTGCTCAATGACCACAGTGCCCCTGAAACACCAACTCAGCCGCCCAGGTACACATGCTAGCCCCGGCCCTGGGTTCCTAGGCTGTGCTCAACCCTTGACCCTTCTACCCTGTCTGCAGGTTCTCAGAGCTTGTAGATGGAAGAGCAAGAGTGAGTGCCAGGTTTGGTGGCTTACCCAGCAAATCAGTCATTGTGAGATCACGTGAGTATTGCAAACTTCCTGGCACCAACTTGGTAATCAACCCTAGTGGCCTCACTGCCCTTGCCCGTGGCGTAACATATGTTGAGGCCCTTAAAACTAGATTGCACTAGCCTGTGAGTGCTCCACCAGCAATCACGATCCTGACCGTGTGTAAGGTTTTAGACTTCTAGGGTAGCAGGAAAGGAGCCTGCCATCCACAGTGGGAAGGCTGACCAAGTTAAGGGCACTCCAGGAGTCAGTCGCCTGTGAGAGGCCAGCCACTGAACCTCATGGGATTCCCCAGCTCCTTGGTGACTGAGAATGTTTGAGGGTGGGGAGCAGAGGGCATGAGTAGGGAGGGAGGGAGGGGCAGTGGGGAGCAGGGGGACCATGACAAAAGGACAACACCAAGCCAAGTTTGTGAGAGAGGGGAGCCTGCTGGCGGGCAGGCTGAGATGTGGAGTACCAAGGCAGAGGTCATCAGACTTGCAGACACGGGGCAACAGCAATGCCTACGGGCAGATTAATTTCTGTAGAGGTGATTTGCAGCTGGGGCCAAGAGTCCAGGCTGCTGAAAATGCTGAAAAAGAAGAAAATATACCTACCCACCCAGGAAGCAGGGAGAACCTGAGCCTGGGAAAGCGAGAGAGCCCCACACCTCAGCCAGCCACATGACAAGGAGCCTCCTTAGGAGGCAGCTCGGGAAAGTAGAAAGCATGTCTCTCAGAGGGGCAGTGGGAGACAGGGCTGGGACCACAGTGCTCTTTGCCAGTGTGTAGCATCAATGGGTGAGCTGGCAGGGATGGGCCTAGGCATGAAGCAAGGGCCATGTGGTCACCCTTAGCTTCTCCTAGAACCCACCACTCCGGTGCCGCTCAAGAACACAGAGGAGGCCCCTGAGCAGGTCCGCCTGGCCCTCCAGCTATCCAGGAACAGCAGCAAGGACCCAGAAAGTAAGTCACATGTATGGAGGGGACGGGAGCTGGCTATTCTTCATAGCTACCACAGTGAGAACACCACAGTGGGAAGTTAGGAGGCACAGGTTCTGCCCAAGGGGCAGCTGGGCACCCCATCTGGAAAACAGTCCCCTGCGTCATGAGTGAGGGGGACAGGAGAACAGGGCCAACCCAGGAAAGACGAGTCCATCCTGCCTCTTCCCAGTAGCCACCCACACCTCGCCCCTCACCTGCCCTGGGGATGCACCCAGCCTCACTTCAGAGAGGAGGTACTGAATCAGGCAAATCAGTGAAGAGTACCCACTGAGCAAGTCCTGCCTTGAGGGATGCCCTCCCAAATCTGGCAACCTGTAGGGCTACTCAGCCTGTACCATCTGATCAGCTGGCTCTCCCCACACAGCATAGCGTGTGTTTCCGGACCTCTGGGCTAGCAGTCGGCAGCACAAACTGATGCCTGCTCCTTCAACCGTCAGACTCTTGCTCTGTCCTCCCTCTGATCCCTCTAGGGATTATGGATGAGAGTTTTATGGATGAATCCTTTTTTTTAAAAAAGATTTATTTATTTATTTATTTATTACAGTATTCTGCCTGCATTTATCCCTGTGGGACAGAAGAGGGCACCAGATCTCAATACAGATGGTTGTGAGCCACCATGTGGTTGCTGGGAATTGAACTCAGGACCTTTGGAAGAACAGCCAGTGCTCTTAACCTCTGAGCCATCTCACCATCGCCTAGGACCCAGAACTCTTTTCTCCTCTGAGTCACATCAGGGTCTAGATTGTGTTCGCCCAGCTCCAAAGAAGACCTGAATACCTGTGGGAGTGTGACCCTCAAGGTCACCTCACGCGAAAACTCTGCCCTCCAAGGACACCTGTCCCTAGTAAGGGCACTTACAGTACCAGAGGGTACATTTGCAACCACAGGGCCACTGATCCCTGAACTCAATATTCTCCCCAGCCCAGGGGCACCTGTACCAGCTCCAGTGTGTACCCTGTGTGTGCCCTGTGCACACTGGGAGGATGGTTTGTAACATGAACAATAAAAACCCAGAGGCAGATATTGAGGTTCAACCTGAAAACCAGACAAGCAAAGCAGCCAAGCCACTAGAGAAGTCTCACCTCTGCCAAGGCTGGGTGACTGCAGACTAAGCAGACAGAAACTCTCACTCCTCCCATTTATATTCCCTCTAGTGCTGGGATTAAAAGTGTATGACTCCCTAGTACTGGGACTAAAGGTGTGAGCCACCACCATCTGGATTTGTTTCTGTATTGAAGATACCCTGCTGCTTTGGGAGTGAATAAAACAGACTCACTGGATAATCATGGGGTTTCTCTACGCAGCCCAGGCTGGCCTCTAACTTGTGATCCTCCTGCCTCGGTTTCCCAAGAGGGATTACAAGCGTGTGCCACCATACCTGGTTTGCTTCATTCTTTAAAGCCTAATATCCTGTTTTGTTCACCGGAAAGGCCTTAGGCAGGACAGCTCAGGCTGAGTGTCAGCTCCACACATGTTTCCACGAATGCAGGAAAAAGGCAATTTTCAGACCCAGGCAAGATATAGACTAAGCCCAGCATCCACTGTGTCAGACATAAGAGTTGGCGGAACTGTGCTCACTCACCTGAAAGGGTTCTTGTTAGACAAAGATGGGACAACTTGAAACCAAGAACGCTGATGACAGCTGTTCTTGTGTACTGGGCCAGATTACCAGGAGATGCAGCCTGCAGGACCAGCAGGCCTCCCCAGGCCCTGAAGCTGACACTGCCTTCCTGTTCCCAGGTGCCCTTGGTAGCTGTTCAGAAGATGCCTGTCAGAATGGAGGCACCTGTGTGCCAGGTGCCAATGCCCACAGCTGTGACTGCAGACCTGGGTTCAAAGGCAGACACTGTGAGCTTGGTGAGTCAGAGCTGGCTACTGGCCTCAGGGCAGCTGACACAGTGACCTGGGACTTGGCCCTGGGAGGCTGAGCATACAAACTGGCTATACTTAAGGGCTTCCAATCTGAGAGACTACAAGGCAGGAGCCAAAAGAGCCCAGGTAGGAAGGATGGTGGATGTGGGACCTGAGGGATGGACCATGAACCAACCACAAGGTGCATGGGGCTACTCAAGGCACTGCCCAGGAGAGAGCCTAGGAAGTCAGGAATGGGTGGTGATTGCAAGGAAACATTTCAGGCACTGGACTGATGATGAGAGGGAACATATTTGGACTGAGAACCAAAAGTGTTGGAAGCTCCCACAAAGACATAAAATAATTCCGAGGCCACAAGAACCTTAAGGAAAACCAACCTGCTGAAACTGAGCACCCTGAGGCAAGGCCCCAAGTCCAGAAAGTAGCTGACAGATCCCCAGGCTCACACAGGCTGCAGGGCTCTTTCCAGGCAAAGGTCTCTCTTGAGAGACAGAAACAGAGCCTCCTCCTCAAGGCTGGCCTTTCTTTCTCCTCTGTGCCACACAGCCTGTGAAAAAGTGCCTCGCCCCTGCACACGGCTGTTCTCAGAGACAAAGTCGTTTCCTGTCTGGGAAGGAGATGTCTGCCATCACGTGTAAGTCAGCTCCGCCTCTGCCCTTGTGCCCTGGTGCTGTGACTTTATCCCCTCCTCCCCCCCCCCCCCCCCCGAGGGACAGACACTGCAGGCACTGGCTTGGGCCATTTCTGTCTGAACTGTCTGTCCAGCCCATGAAGCCCAAGAACTGACTAAAGAGAACACAGGCTGAGTCCCATGCATGGAAGCCCTCACACAGTCCCAGGACCTGACTCTCCTCCTTCCCTTAAAGCCCGAACATCAATCAGCACATGAGAGCCCCAGTCCCAGCTCTACTGCTACCCCAGCGTGATGTGGCAGTGAGCAAATCACTCCTGCCGCGGTTTCTCCACCTGGACCAGGAGGAAGGACTACTTGTCTCATCTCTTGAGACCCTACCTGCTATAGCACTCATGACTCTGGGTCAGGTGTCTGAGGGCCTGCTGTGCTGGGCTGTTCCAGGCACTCAGGGAGCCAGATCCTGTGCTCTAGATGAGGACAGCCATAGCAAAGGCACATCTCTTCACAGTATAGGAGAAATCAGAGAGTGCCCAGGAAGGGAGAGAGAGAAAAGCGTAAGACAAGGAGAACAAGGAATAAAGGGGACAGGAGTAGGCTTCATGGGAGAGGGACACTGAACAGACATGGAGGAGGTGGAGCTATCAGAGAGAAAATAATGTTCCAGACACCAGGTACATGTGTTGCAAGGTGCCCAATATGTCTGAGGAACAGAGGCCAACAGAGCAGAGAATAATTTGGGAGCAGAAGACGGGGGGGTTCCTGGGATCTTGGAGACCCTCAGACGGACTGTGGCATTTGTTCCCCATGAACTGCAGAGATCCTAAAGGGCTCTGTGCAGACGGTGATGTGTGACCACGCTGTTCAAGCCCCTCTGGATGCTCGGAGGAGGAGGAGGAGGAGGAGAAGGAGGATAAGGAGGAGGAGGAGGAGGAGGAGGAGGAGGAGGAGGAGGAGGAGGAAGCAGGTGAAAGAACAGAAGGAAAAGGCAGAAAGTGTCCCCAAGCTTGAAGCAAAGCCAGGCTTAGACAGAAAGGGAAGAGGTCAAAGGTCCTAATCTGTATGGGTTTGGGGAAGCAGCCTTGACCACCACTGACCCTGGACCCACAATGGCAATCTGATGTTAGTCCGCACCTACCAGCCCTCCAGCTTCCAGCTCTTCTGGTTACACCAGAGCCTGCCTCTGTTAGATGCCCCCGTCATGTGAGGAGAATCCTTCATTCAGCAAACTTTCTGTCCTGCTCTTGTAACCTATATGTATCTTTGAAGAGACTCCCCTTAGCTAACAGAGATGAGTCTTGCTTATATTTTTTCTGATTGGTCTTACTAGAGTTTAAATCACTTTACAATTATCATAATGGGTGGTGTGGCTGGGTTTAAATCTATGTATCATTTATATTTTTTTTTTCCATCTGAACCTTATTGCTTTTTCCTCTTCTCTGGCTTGGTCACCGATTAGAATTGTTTCATTCTGTCCCGTAGTCACTCTAGGATTTCCAATGCACAGCTTCAGTTTGTCTCCACTTACCTTGAGTTACTTGCATACAACTGCAGTTACAGGAGACTTACTCCCATCTACAGCAGGAGACTTCCTTTGTGTAACTTAAGATTCCATCTGGTATAATTTTCCTTCTCTGGAAAACTTACTGGAACATGTCTGAGGACACAGACTCATAGGTGATGGTTCTCTGCTCTCGCTGGTCTGAAAGACTTTTGTCTAAGCCTCACTTTGGGCATATTTACTAAGTATAGGATGATTAGTTGACAGCTCTGATTCTTGTTTCAGCGCTCCAGGTTAGAAGTATCTTTATGACAACATACTTGGCACACACAATGAAAAAGGAGGATTTATTTTGGCTCGCGGTTATAGAGGTTTCATTCCATGATGGTGGAGGTCAAGGTGAAGTGGAAGAGCTCCTGGCATGGTTCCCTGGCTTTCTCCTTTATCCACTTGTACAGTCTGTGGGATGGTACCATCCACATCACGGCAGCCTTCTCTTCAAACAAACACCCCCAGACACAACCAAGGATGCTCTTCACTACCTCGTGTGCTTCTAGGTGCAACCGAGTTGACAAATTTAGCCCTGTCACCACCCATGTCTTCTCCATCCCTGTGGCGCCTTTTAAATTTTCTCTTTATTGCTGTTTCTGGCCAGCTTGATCATGTGTTTTGGTTTTGATAGTGTTTATTTTTATTCCCTGAGTATTTATTTATTTACTTATTTTGAGGTAGAGTTTCTCTTTGTAGTCCTGCCTGTCCTGGAATTAGCTAATGTAGACCAGGCTGGCCTCAAACTCACAGAGATATACTTGCCTCTGCCTCTGGAGTGCTGGAATTAAAGGGTTCCTTCTCTGGAATTTGTTAATATTGTATTTCTGGGGCTTTAGCTTTTGTCAAATCTGAGCCATTGTTCTTATCTTCTTTGTTCCTCCATTTCTCTTCTCTCCTAGAGCTCGATTATGAATATATTTAACTAATATTGTCCCTCGGGTCACTGTAGATCTTTCCATTGTCTTAGTGTTGTGAATGGTGTATATGTGTATATATCTATGCTTCCTGTAGGGTAGTTTGCATTGCTATGTGTTCAATGCCACACACCTTCTCTTTTGCATCATCTAGTTTGTTGTCAATCCAATTCAACAATTCAACTGCAACTTCAGATACTTGTTGATGGTTGTTGGATTAGATTTTTTTTGGGGGGGGGGTCACTGTTTTTTTCAGTCTTAAGATTAAACCCAAGGCTGCCCAGCAAGTACTGTGCTACTGAGCCCCAACACAGACACTGTGTTTATCATTGTCAGCCACTTCTCTCTTCATTTTGCTGATATTTTTCTTGAGCTTATTGAACATGTGGGACAAACAGGTAGCAAATACTTCAGTTTCCTCTCATTTGATTTTTGGTTCTTATGATTTTTTTGAATGTATAATTTATCAGATGTTGAACATTATAAGTTTCATATTACTGGGTGGTGAATTTATTTGAATTCTTTTCAAGAAAGAGATTTTTGTTGTTTTGTTTTCTGCAAGGCAGGCTTCAATTACAGTTTGGTCCTTTTGAGGATTTAGGATGGCTTTAGAAACTTTATCTAGAGCTAATTTCACCCTCTTCTGTGGCACTATCTTCCTGGAGTCAAAAAAGATCTTAGCACTCTTGGCTCAGGTCTGGCCTTGCTGCTCAGGACTCCAGGCCTGTGTGTGCACAGCTCGCCTCTCATGGCAGATTTCCAGACTGCCCCCATGGATCCCTCTACTCCAGAGCACCCCCAAGTTCTAGCTGCCTCTGCCTCTCCAACTCGAGCCTGCCTCCTCAACACTGACCACTGCCTACTCCCAGCAAATGCTCCAGCCTGCCTTCTCACGTTCCCCTCTTCTCAGGGCATGCGATTTTTTCTCAGCTATGCCCCCTCTCCCCTCCAGTTCTCTGGTAGCTGAAGCTGAAGGTCAACTCCAGGTCCTCTGTTCCCTGGCAGCCAGAAGAAGTCCTCCAAACGGGCCTCCCAACTAGTGCAGGCAGGAGCTTCTCTGCCAGCTCCCTGGTTTTCTTTTCAATGGCTCAGACATAGAAACTCTAACAGGCCCAAGCACAGTCCCATTCCCATGGAATGCTGAGAAGATCTATGAGTATATCCCGCTACACGTGAAACGGAGACTTGGGAGCTAAACAGGCTTGCTGGCATAGCTAATTAGAAAATGGGATGGGCAGGCTTCATCAGGCCTCCTGGTCCATACTGCCTGCCTTTGAGGCTTCCAGGGCCAGACTTCATGACTGTGTTCTTGAAACATTCATAGAACAGAAGAGTGGGTTTCCTGATTTGCTTTCTACTGTTGTGACAAAGAACAACCAAAAACAACTTGGGGAGGAGAGTGTTTATCTCAGTCTTTACGAAGGGCAGGAACGTAACCACGACAGAAACATAGAGTCAGGGACTAAAGCAGAGAGCACAAGGAGTCCTGCTTACTGACTTGCTCCCCACACCTCACTGGACAAGCTATCTTATACCATCAGGACCACCTGCCCAAGGGTTAAACTAGCCACACCAGTCTGGACCCGCCCACATCAACCATTAGTCAAGAAAAGGTTCCTACACACTTGTCAGACTATAGGCCAATCTGACAGAGGCATTTCCTCAATTAAAGTTCTCTCTTCCCATATGACCCTATCTTGTGCCAAGCTGACCAACAAAACAAGCAAGCAAGCAAACAAATAAACAAAACACTAACTAGCACACTGAGTCAGACCGTCCCAAAGCCTCAGGACAAGTGGCCTGTCCCAGCAATGTCCTGTCACTGAAATTTCAGTGAGTCCTTTCACCACCTTGGGTTTGTCAGCATTTGTGAAACGGTACCCTGAAATGAATACATCTTTATGCACGCTAGACTTTACGTACACCCCCAGTAACACTGTATTAAGAAAATAGTGGGCTCTGCCTCTGTCCAGCCTAGATGAAACAGTTAGACGCCTCTCCCGGCGTCTGGTTTCACAGAGTTTCCTTGTGACAACAGGTATAAGAAAGTCTACAAAGTTCACCAGGACATCTGCTTTAAAGAGCGCTGTGAGAGCACAAGCCTCAGGAAACCCCAAGCAGGTACCCCTGGGGCCAGGCTGCCTCGTGCAGTTCTGTGGGTGCGTGGGTAACGGTAGTGACAGGGTTGGAGCAAGCCAGGCTGTTTGCCCAAACACCTCACGTGCGGCTGTACCCTGCTCGGAAACGGATGCCCACACCCGCACGTGTGGGGGCACAGACAGGCCCAGCGGTGTCCGGAGGCCGTCACTCCAGACAGAGAATCGGTGCTGTGATGGGAAAGCACAGGATGTTACTGACAGACCCAAGTGTATAAGCGCAAGTTTAGAAGATCCTTTTACACCCACTCACAGCCAAGCTTCCCCCCAGTTTAAGGTAGTCACAAGCTGCATCGCTGTTTACGATCTTGCTCAAAGTTCTACTGATGTGGGAGTGTCATATATCAATCTGTTGATTTCATTGGTTAAGTAATAAACAGACTGCTTGGCCTCATAGCTTAGAACATACGTGGGTGGAGTAAACAGAACAGAATGCTGGGAGGAAGAGGAAGTGAGCTCAGTCTCGACAGCTCTGCTCTCTGGAGCAGAGACGCCATGCTCCCCTCTCCAGATGTGATAGCTCTGCTCTCTGAGACACACGCGATGAAGCTCCGACCCAGGATGGACGTAGGCTAGAATCTTCCCGGTAAGACCGGGGCTACACAGATTATAAGAAAATGGGCTAGTCCAGGTGCGAGAATTAGCCTAGAAGAGGCTAGATAGAAATGGGCCAAGCAGTGTTTAAATGAATACAGTTTGTGTGTTGTTATTTCGGGCATAAGCTAGCCAGGCGGCTGGGGTGCTGGGGACGCAGCCCCACCGCTCTTATTACAACATTCTACTGAGAGCATCATGTTCCGACAATGAGAGTCCACCTTCAGGTATGATCTCCATGACCACCTGAAGCCACATGTCACATCCTTGCTCTGCATAACTAAATCTGAGGAGAGGCAGCTGCAGCATGCAGTCACCAGGAGCGCTGCTTGACCTGAGTGTGTTACTACCTCCCAGGGCAGCTCTTGCTTGCTTCCTTCCACACTCTTCCCACAATGCCAGGGTACTTCTGCTCAATCCCCATATGCATCCACCAGACTGAGAGGGCAGATGCCGGGCAGTCTGTATGTGGACTTGGCTGGGTTATAGATGAGGAACAGAGAAGATTAAGGGTGGGGTTTAAGGCGCACAAGGTTCTTTTTCACTAAACTGGTGTTCTTCATTATTTCAGGAAACAAAGTAACAGTCAAACACTGAAGAAATCTTAAGGAACACTCTCCTTCATACCAAGATCTGTTGAGAACTGGAGACACCATCACACCCAGCACCTTGAGCACTGAGGTCCTTTACCAGACACTGATGGCACAGACTCAGCACTGTGCTCTTACAGACCCAACCAGGAAGGCTCCAGAACTCCCTACTATAGCCTCCCTCTAGATACAACCTGGTCTGGCCGTGAATATGAATCTGCTTTCAGGTGGAAATGAGACTTTAAGAGGGAGGGGCAACTCTCTCTCTCTCTCTCTCTCTCTCTTTCTCTCTCTCTCTCTCGGCAGATCAGTTACAGCGAGGCACAAGAATCACCTGGCCCCTTTAGGGCAGTGGGCCTGGGTGGTAAAAGGATCAAGGATGCCAAACAACCCTAGGGGTGCTGGGAAGGCTCTAAGGAAGTACCCCCAACCCTATGAATGGCATTCTACTGGTGAAATAGGGTGGGAACCTTGTCATGTAACACCCAGGTGATCCTAAATGCAGCCTCTCATTGGGGGGTTAGGGTGGATCCTGGGATTCTAAGCACCAATATCCCTGAAATGAAAGAAACTTTGCCTGCTTGCTCCAGCATGCCCCACCCACCTCCCCATGTATAAACTGTGAGATGTTAAAGGGCATTGGATGTTTTTCCACAACAGTCTGGAAAATACTGGGTTACTCTGTGGAGACCCATGTATAGCCCAAACTCAGCCCCACAGTGACTTCCTATTGATGTGACATAATTGGGAACGACAGATTGGCTGGCCCAAGAAAATTTACTCCCCTCCCTTGGGAGAGCCAGAACAGTTCACTTTTCCTGTGTTGGGAGAGAGGCGTATCTGGAAACTAGCCACATCAGCAGTCAGCTTTTTCTTCTACAGTGGAGGACATGAAGGAGAAATGTCACCCAAAGGCCTAAGAACAACCACAAACAAAGGAGCTCCAGGCAACGCTCATCCTAAGGAAAAATGCTCACAGTAAGGGATAGGACATGAGCAAAGGTGATCGGGGCATCAGAACAGCAGGCTCTCGGACATCAAGCAGCAGGGCCTTTGCATCCTCACCGTTTCTACTATGAAAACCCTGTATGAAGAGCAGCTGACAACACTCAAATCCTGTCCGCTCCACAGCATCACCTTTCACCTCAGCCTCCAAGAATGCAAACACAAAACACCTCCAACACTTGTGAGCAATTTAAACCCACGAAGATCAAGAGTCAGTCCAGACATTATTTGGTTTTAAAATATTTACATTGCAATACGTCACTTGAAATATCAATGTATCTTTTAAGAACTCACCCAGAATGCCCATTTTTATAAAAATTAATAATCCCCAGCTACTTACCACAGACTGACTTATAGAACACTTATTTCCAGAGCAACAGGGAAAACAGACAGGAAGCACGCATGCGCGCGCGCGTACACACAGACAGACAGACAGACACACTCACACAAAACACCATTCAAGGCTGCCCTAGGAAAACGACCCAATGCCATCACCAGAAGGCAGCAGGGGACCAGCAGCCTATTGATTCAAATTTAAAGGACGGGCTGAACCCAGGTGTCCTCATAGAGGTTCCTGTGTTCTCACTTCCACCCTCTGCATCACAGCCAGCTGGAATTCTGGCGATGCAAGAATGAATACAGGTCCCCTGGGGAACAGTGCCTGCTGCCCCCAGAGAAAGATAGTGGGCATAAAAAGGAGTCTGTTTGCTGCTCCTGCTTCTAAAGGGTCAGCAGGTGCTGGTAACACTGCCCACCTCAAGAATTTTCAAGATGCAGAAAAATGAGGTCTGAAACCTAACTTAAAAATGACAGGAGACAAGTTCTTGGCTGTAGTCAGTCTCCCCTAAGACCTCTGTCCTCAGATTTCTAGAAGATAGACAACCAGATCCGCACACCCAAGGATTCCTGCAAGGGAAGCCCTGAAGCATCTGCAATCTTAACCCAGGCTGCTGTTTGTGCAGCTGTAGCCAGTACCTCTGTGAGCAGTGAGTGTGCAAATTACCTGGGTTAGCAGGCTTGGTCAGTGGTGCTTCTCTATGCTCGGAAACCGCCCCAGATTCCAGCATCAGAGAAGTGTCTCTTGAACCCTCAAAACCTCAAGAAGAAAAGACTCAGCTTTCACAAGAGATGCAAAAAGGACCACATGGAAACAGAGGAGCTCTACCCTGCTCCTCTCGTTTATACTGACCTTAAGAAATGCTAATCACTACTACTACAGAGTTTAGACACTTGGTCTACAGCTCAGGAGTTGGCAGGGCAGACAAATGCGTTTTCAGATGGCGTGACCTCTCTGGCACCCACCCAACTCTGCTACTGTACTGCCAACACGGTCACAGATGTAGACAGACAGCATGGCTGTATCCCATTAACTCTTCATCCACAGAAACAAGCGGTAGGCCACAGTTGGCAGTGCCTGGCTTAGATCTAGACCTCGGTCTTCTGTACAGAAAGACATCTCCTGAAGGACAAGCTGCCATCAAGGCATGAAGACCCCTGAACGTCACAGAAGAAAAGGAGCCAAGATCCTTGCTCGGAAACCTAAGCTATGCATCCACCATAAAGCAGCAAGCGCTACTCTGTTCACAACTGACGGGAGCACAGAGTGGCACAGGGCGGGCAGGCTCCTGGAGACAGGGCCCAAGGCGTCTTGTAATCCGTGCCTCAAGGCGATGGTCTGGCCAACAAAGACAAACACACTTCACCCAGCCTGTTTTCCACTCTACTCTCAACAAGGCTCTAAGCAGCTGCCTTCTCCTGTAGTGAGGTCGGAAAAAAGATCCCTCGAGAACAGAGCCTACCTGACTGGAGATCCAGTACCAACCAGAGGCCTCCTGTCCTCAGTTCATAAAAACGTACTTTGAAGAAAAACATTTATTTTTACCAAATATTGCTGAGCCTGTGCATTATGCAATTTTTTCCTTTTCATGTCAAAAACTCACACTGGCTTGTCTCCAGAGACCTGGGGGGCCAAAGACAGGGCTCAGAGACCAGCTCCACAAACATCTATGTCAACTTCCATGCGACAGTGAGACCTGCCACCATCCCGCTACAGAAGCTACAGCATTAGCAAGACCAAGTGACATCGCTGGAAACGTAGATGAAACCTTTATAGTAATGACCTCAGGAGCCTCACCCACCAGGCCAACCCTGCCACATTCCCACTTCCAGTTGGAGCCTATGTTTCAGACAGGACCCAGCCCACTGAAGGCAGAGTGTGGAGCTGGCACACAATCCTTCCAGTGTTTCCCAGGGGAGACAGACTTGCTGATGCTGAGGAAGTTGTGGTAACATTCCACACATGCCTCTGCTTTCTCACACGTCTTTCGGAAGCAGATGTGTGTCCTTCCAAAACAGTCACTGTCCATTTGGGAAATGTCACAATAGAATCAGAAGACTGACAAGGTGTAAAGATTTATTTGGGGGCCAAAATGAAGACGCAATCATGAGTTGTTGGGCTTACCGTTTGCTAATCCAAACACGGGATGAGCAGACACCTAATTAAGTCAGGGTTAGCATTCTATTTAGCTCTGATGGAGCCCAAGGCCAAATATCCTACATTCAGGGACAGTGGAGGTCACTTCAGTGCCACAAAGTAGAAGAGTGAGCAGCAAAGAACGAGCATCACTGTTCTCAAAGAGCTTTGTCTATGGCCAAGAACAGCCACGAGGCATCTCCCTTCTCTACTGCCCTCGGGCTGCTGGAGGTAGACAGGACGGCTTGCTGTGTCTTACTTTGTGTCGAGAGTCCAACAGGCAAAGACAGGGCCTTGCCAGGGATTGGCCTGCCTCACAGACCTCTGATTGCATGGGAGTCTTGGGATGACGGCTTTTCTCTGTGAATGCTCTTCTCTTTGAAGTCAGGCTCTAGGTGAGTCCAAAGCCTCCGCGCCTTGGTGCTGATTCCTCACAAAATACACCTCAGATCCAGCAAGATCTCTACTTTAGACAGAAGTAAGTATGTCAAGCCCATTTACCATCCAAATGTGGTACGGTCACAGTACTTTACTGGGCCAGGTCTTGGAGCAGTTTCTCAGCTGGGACACTGCTTTGTGGACCTGATCATTCATGTGCAGTGCAAGGGAGGGTATTTTGCTGGCTTCTACTCTCAAGATCCCAGGGCCCTGACACACAGAAAAATCTCCAAAGATTGTCAGATATCTTGAGAACCAGGGCATCCCCATGTATGCATTGGGTTCTGTCTATATAGGAAACACAAGACCCATAGAGGGATTTCACATGACTATTAAATGTCACTAAGTAGAAAAAAAAATATTACCAAGCATTTCTGATTTGGGCTCTACCATCAAAAAAGCTTTCTGCATCACCAGCCCTGTGCGGTTTCCTGAGGAAGGAAAACTTCCTAGGAGGCCTCAATCCTCTGAGCCTTAGCTCCATCAAACCAGGCCTCTCCTCAGAGCTTACCTCATGCCAGCACCAGTACTGAACAGCACTCAAGACACTCACTGTGCTCCCCAGGGTGATATCCATGCCAGGGTATCTGAAAGATCCCTACAACAAACCAAAATCAGACCTGGGGTCTGTGTTCTCCATCTATCACAGAGAAGGCAGAAGGGAAGTCCCTCAGAGACCACCCACAGCCCCTGAAGTGCTGGTTCTGAGCCCGTTCACTCTGGCAGCACAGGCTAAAGGGCCAAAGAACCAGGCCTTGAAGTGGCTATTAGCCAGGAACCCACATGAAGGCCAGCTTGCCCAAGCAGGAAGGGTCAGCATCTCACAGATGAGAAGAAGGTTTTGCTAGTCCAAAGACTGCAAAACTAAACACATTACTAACCAACGCCTTTCACTCTGCTGTACACTGAACGCGTTAGAGGGCCGTGAAATGTCGGATTAAAAACATGACTATTTTGTGGAAAACCTGCTACTTGTTTTCATAAAATAAAGTGCTATGACATACTACCCTCATGTTACATTCTCATGATTTTACCTTTACTACCACAAGGAAACACGTAGCGACTCTTGAGCCGGAAAGCACCTCTTTCTCTACACGATTTCAGAATTAACACCAACGTATTTCAACAGAGAAAAAGATACCAAACTTGGATGGGTGGCATCCCCTGGATTTTAACAGCTGAGTCCTTTATTTAGGATGTAGTGGGCCTCCAAAGAAGCCACTAGACTGCAACAAAGCATCTCCTATTTGGTTTGATGTACCTACATCTACAGTGGATCATAACAGTTTCTTTTTTTTTCTATCAAATGACCAGTGTTAGTATTAAAAAATGCTCGAAGATCCAGGTGATCGCCCCAAAGCTTTGAGAATACGGGAATGATCTCCGGCATCTCTGGACCCTTTTGTCCCATCCTCCATCACAGCTGCTCTTCATCTTCCTCCTCCTCCTCCTCTTCCTCCGATGCATGGCTCTCAGATTCCTCTTCTTCTCTATCCAAGAGCTTTTTAAAAACCTCAAACTCCTCGGCAGAGGAACGTGCTGTCCTGGCCAAAAACTCAGCTTCAGAAACCCTGAGAATGTCCTTCAGTAAAGGGTTAGGGATCTGTGTCTGTCCCTTCTTATCAGGGGTTTGGTACCGTCCAAGGCGTTCCAGGTACATGTGTCTCTGCTTGATCTTGGTTATTGAATACTGTAAGAAATCATTCTTGACTATGTCCAGATGCTTAAGTCCCATCCTAAAATATGCATACTGGAAGATACAAAGATGTTTAGGAATTTATGTAGAGAACCTTAAAGCCTATCGTTCAATTCAAAACAAACTTTGGTCCAAAAACATTAGAAAAGAATTGCCTGTAGCTACTCTCTAATACCAACACTTGTGTGAAGTCTGACAGTTTTCAAAGCATTTCAAAATTCATGCTGAGAAAAATGCTGCAGAAAACAAATGGGTGTGTTAAGTTTTCTTTAAACAGGGGAACAAAAATTATGAGTATAGAAAAATCCAACCCAAAGATGCTTTGGAATTTTAAAAAATGTATGAGTGCACAATTATTTGAGTATGTTACAGAATGCCTGTGAAGGCCAAAGGCCAGCCTAGGTGGTTTACAAGCCTCCAGGAATTCGCCTGTCTCTACCCCACAACTCCCCCACAGGGGTGCTGGGGCATTGCACATTCAATTTTGACAGGTCCCCAGAATCTGGTCTTCATGCTGGCACAAGGGTTTTCATTTGTCTGTCTGTTTGTTTTGAGGCAGGGTCTCTACATAGCCCAGGCTGGCCTTAAACTCAGAGGTTCACCTGCCTTTGCCTCCTGAGCTAAGATTGAAGGAGTGTACCACCCTTCCCAGCTGCACAGGTGCTTCTGACCTTACCTGTCACATCTGCTGTCACATTCTCCAAACCCCCACTCACTCTAAGGGTGGGAAAGTTTTAGCTTTCTCAATAGTAGTTATTTCAGAGTACCTACTTGGACCTGGAATGGGGCCAGGTCCCTCTCTGTCAAGGAAGTAAAGCAGAATGACAGGTTTGCTTTGGGGGGAGAAAAGAACTGAGCTGTACTGCTCTAGAACAGAAGCTCTGAGCTCTACTCAGAGGCTTCTTGTCCACACAGCTGACCTTACTCAACTTAAAAATCTGAAGTCAAGAGTCTAGTCACTCATTCTCACCTGGAATTTGTACTCTAGTTCACTGGGGTCCGCCTGAAGAACGCCTGGGCACCTGTGTAAAAGCTCAGTGATTTGCTGTGCTGTGAACATGCACCTCTCCTTGAGGACCCTCACAACACCATCAATGTCCCGCTGGCGCATGGTGAAAACCTCAGGGCAACTGTGCAGCACTCTCTTCAGTTTCCCTGTAGGATAGTAAGAAAAGCAAAGCAAAGCATGTAACTTCAGGTATTCTGGAAAGCCAAGGGCTGAACAATAGTTAGGGGCTGGTAGACGGGTCGGTCAGTGGGTAAAGGCGCCCGCCACCACACCTCATAAATTGAGTTCAGTCTCCAGGACCCACACGGTGGATGCAGACAACTGACTTTCAAAGTTGTCTCATGGCATCCATGTAAGCCCCGGAACTTGTGCTACCAAACACACTCACAGATACAATACACACAGAAGGATCACCTCCCTTCATAGGATTGCTGACTTCAGACTCTGCCTTCTATAAAGCACCGTGGAAACACGTCCTCTCAGATCCAGCAGCCCACCCTACATCCCTAACCTGGCCTCCGAGTGTCCTCTCGTGAGCCACATTAGTAACTGTATCCAGACAACTGCTATAAACAGGAGCTGTCCCAGACAGGTGGAGTAAATGGTCTTCTTTTAGTAGTTGGACCAATTTTCTTAGGAATATTGGCAAATTTAATAGCTGGAAACTTAAAAACTACTTAGACTATTAACTATTTTTCCCAACAGCATAGTTGGTCACTGTCTCTGCTTGACTGCTGTGTGAAGAGGAATTTCCAAAGGGCAAGCTATTTTTGTTTTTTGTTTCTTTTGTTTTGTTTTTGAGACAGGGTTGTAGTTGGGGCTGTCCTAGAACTCACAGATCCGCCTGCCTCTGGCTTCCAAGGGCTGGGATTTAAGGCACGCGCCACCATGCCCAGCCACCACGCCCAGCCAAGGTGTGCACTTTGCTTTCATCTCTCAAGCTGTGCTTCAATACTGAGCTTAGACTCAGAAGACACTACAGGAAAACCTTTTTTTCTTTTTTGCTCATCTTCTAGAGAAGGCCTACAGAGGTACCAAACAGTGGACTCTAAGCCTCCCCTACTTGGGTGGTAAAAGTCTTACCAGGAACAGTCAATAATAAAAAGAAATAAAAACTGGTCAAATGGGTAGACATCACTGGAGATTTCCATCTCCCTTCTCCAGAGGAATGACAACAGTTAGCAGGAGGCCACTCTGCAGCTCTCCAGGAACCTGGCACCACCAGGTCTAAATTTTTGTACAGGATGTTTTTGCAGTGGTCACCCATATGCATACACATATCACTACCACATAGCAACTCTAAGCATCCAAAAACAGACTTCATGTTCCCACTGTTCTGGAGCTCGAGACCTCAATGAACAGAACACATGGGACTTGTTTTGGCCTTGGTTCTCTCCTCCTGACTAATCTCCCCCCATACCTCTTACAACACCTTCTGCAGAGGGCCCATCACACATCTCCTCGGAGAACCTTCCAACCTCACTTCACCTTACTAAGGTGTGTTTAGCCCACAGACCACATGCATCCCAGGATAGCTAGGAATGCAACCTAACACATTTGTATATGACCTGTCATGTCACAATATCAGAAGGCTGGACTAAGGCAGGCTATTTTTTTCACTAACTCCGACTCCTCTCACACTACAAAGTCTGCTGCTTCATCTACCTTCTCCAAGGCCAAGCTTCCGCAGGTAACTGGACCGCTTCTTCATTTGCAATGGAGACAGTTTCAGTAACTGTGGACTTTTCTTCAAAGCCATAAATAAAGGTTCTGGGTGCAATCCCAAGAGTAGAAATTCTGAAATTATGTCCAGCAGCTGTTGAGGATGGACGCTTGGCTGTATATTGAGCAAGCTGTTAATGTGGGCTTCATCAAAACCCATGTCCTGGAGGGAACTGATGACGTTTGCAAGCTCCGTGGACTTAGGATCCACAAAAGTCTTCTGCTCCTCATGAAGACACTGAACAATATGTGTCCTATACTCTGGTTCCTGCACATACGTTTTCGGTCTAACACAGGAGGACTCTTGAAGGTTCTCTCCACTGGGTACTGTAGTCAGTTTGCAAAACAAAGAAGGACCCATCCTTTTACGGTCTCTGAGATGAGGGGTCTGCCTGGACAAACAGGTCCAGGAGCAGGTCATTAGTCGGTGCCAGTCAGGAACCTGTAAGACAGAGCCAAAATAGAATTAGTTCCACCTCGGGATAATAACTATCACAAGATCACAGGGCGCGAGTATTTTGGACCTTGGCCCATAAAAGCTAACGGTTTTGGTAAACAATCTGTAAAACCCCTGGGCCTAAAAGGTCTTCAGAGAAGGAAATTAACATATAGATGACAGCACTTACAGAAGATATAGGAGCCCGGCACAGCCAATACTCTGAGCTTTATGGAGGACTCCTATTCATTAATATTTGGCTGAAAATTCTGAACCGCAGACAAGCCACCAGACAGATGCACTACCTAAACTTATTCCAACAAAGGATAATTGTTTCGATGCTACCTTTCATTAAAGGAAAAATATTCCTGGGCAGGAGTCTGTCAATTCTCGGTGTCTGGGACTAACTAACACATAACAAATTAGGCATCCGATGGCCGCCAGACTGGTCTCCAAAACCTCTCTAGCACGACCCGCCTCCCTTCTCTCCGCCATGGTGGTCCAGGTCTCCTAAGCCCATAGCCGCCACATTAGCCGAAACTCCATAGAAGCCAGTGGCTCATGTCAGGACCAGGCTGTCTATGCACACACCACCCGGGAGCGCTATTGCCACAAAGCGGCCGGACGTGGTCACAAATAACCTGCGGCAGGGCCTCCTGCACGTCCCGCCCGCGGCTGCTGTGACTCCCGGACCTATGGCAATCTCACCCGCCTTCCTAGAGAAGCCATGGAGCCCCAGCGGCGAACGTAACTGGATCGCCGGAAGGGGCGGTCCTTCCTGGCCCACAATGTCCGTCCTCCGGTCTGTGTCCGCCGCAATCCTTGGAGCCAGCGTTCCTCTGTTCCGCGGCCAAGCTTTTAATCCCCTGGGCTCTTTCCCGGCGCCGCGGCATGCAGATGCAGCTTCCCTCGGCTGTGCTCTGCCAGGAACAAGCAAGACCACAGGGGTTTCTCAACTGCCCTTCCAAGTACGGGAGAAGCTAAGTTCACACCATTATTTCCTGTCGTAAACCACACTACAGGCGCGCCGGGAGAGACGGAACACAAAAACGAAGCAGGTGTTAAAAATTCTATAAGCCCTAGTGCATGAACTGGTTTTTTGGAGCCCATTCCCTATGGAGAGATACCTTGCTCAGCCTCGATTCAGGGAGGAGGGGCTTGGTCCTGCCTCAACTTGATATGCCAGACTTCGTTGACTCCCCATGGGAAACCTCACCCTTTCTGAGGAGTGGAGTGGGTGGGAGGTTGGGTGAAGGGAAGACCGGGGAACTGTGGTTGAGATGTAAAATGAAAAGAAAAAAAACGTAAATAAATTTTTAAAGAAGATTCTATAAGGTCAAATAACCTAACTGTAATTGTGGAGTTAGGATGTCGCAGACCAGAATCAAATTATCAGGGATTATCTTTTAGCCTTTTTGAAATTCATTCACTGTCCAACTAAACAGTTTTGTGACTATGAAGGCCTTTAAAATATATTCTTAGACCACCACTGGTTCTCACCAATCCAAAAGCTAATCACATAATTAGTTAACACCTAAAATACTGTAGGTAAATGTCTTTGTCACCTTCCTATCTCTATCCCTATCAATCAATGTGTCCGGTAAATGCCTTGATTATGACTTTGTTCTGTAGCTAATAATATTTCATCTAACTACACCCACAGTGGAATCTCTTTTGGAGCAACCAAAATTCATGCTCCCAAGCTCACCTTTGAAGTGAATACTGGTTTTGGTGGACACTGTAATACAGCAATAACTTCTCAGGACAGCCCCAAATTCTTCCTGAAATGGTAAGCTGGATCCAGACCTAGATAAAGGTATTTGGTAAATTGTATTGTTTTAAAATGCATGTTTAGGGTCAGCAAGATGGCTCAGCAATTAAGATACTTGCCACACCAGTCTGATGCCCGAGTTTGATCCTAGAAACCCATGTAAAAGTGTAAAAGAACAAACTCACTCCACAAATGTCTACCTTCACACACACACACACACACACACACACACACAATGACACGCATGCCCATATAAGTTTTTGTTTTTTAACTCTGTGTTCAACGTGAATACCTGGCTACACACACCAAAAGAAGCCAGTCTTTAGAGACTGAAGAGCTAGCTCAGCAATTAGCAGCACAAGCATAAGGATTGCAGTTCAGATCCCAATACCCACATAAAAATCCAGGTGTGACCCCATGCATGCCTTTAATCCCAACACGGAGAGGGAAGGACACAGGAGGATCAACGGGACTTACTGAGTGACAATCTAGCCAAAAAGAAATGTGGGTCCAGGTACAGGGAGAGACCTAGCCTCAAAGTTACAGAGGACACCCAACTGTAACAACCCAGTATGTAATACATATATAAACTCACATAGGTACACACAGAGATGTCTGCCATTAAAAAAAATACAAGGCCCAAGTAACAAAATGATAGGAACAATGGCATATTTTCACTTATAAACAACAGAGCTCTCTTAGCACAGAGGTCTGATTTCCCATAAAGATGAGGCACTAGAATGTTCCATACAAATTTGCATGCATTAAATTTGCATCTTAGACCTGTTTGGGCAAAAAGCCTGGGAACCTTTTAGAAAGAGAGAACAGTAAGAGATAAAAAGCTGTGTTCTCACAGCTGCCTAAATCCCACCACTCGTAAGTCATTATTATATTTATTTCTTCCTGGTTTATTGGCTTCTTGTGTGAAAAAAGGGATCAGGCTGATACATCAATAAACATATTCCTGCTTTGTGCTACACACTGACCTAGGGCTGAAGTATTTAAACATATCTTTTGACAGAAGGGTTGGGTTGTATAAAAGGACAGGAAAGTTGCAATCTGCGTAAAACTTTCTTTTGTCTTAATTTTCTAACTAAATAAACATCATTTAGGCCTTCACACTGAAAGCCTAAGAAAACCCTATGCCACTCCAACTTCTTGAAAATAATCTAGGAACCTGAATCAGTCAGCCAGCACTGGAACAAAGTGATGGCTAGAACACAGGGCTGCTGTCAAAGTCTGGCAGGATCTTTAGTCTTCACAAAACTTTGCATCTTGAATCAAACTTGAAATTCCAAGAGGGAAAATTATCAGCTGCCAACTCAGAACCTTAGTCTCCAAGGTTTTGAGAGCTTTTGTATTGTTTGGTTTTGTTTTCCTGCAAAGAACACCCATAAGCCATCAGACTATAACAAAAAGCTTTATTTTTTTCTAATATAGAAATGGTTCTTAGAAAGCTGCATTTTGCATCCTCAGCCCTACTACACTGTCTGAAAAAAAATCTGTAATATCTTGTGCTCTATGTGTAATAAAGACTACAAGGAAAAACATTTGTTTCATTCTAAGAAACAGCTCATCTGAAATCAAAAGCTAAAATGTCACCAACTTCTGGAGACTGGGCCTGGAAACCCTCAGTCACAGTCGCGTTGACACCCTTCACCGAGAGCCTTTCACACAGACGAAGTAGAGCTGGGCCAGACACGGGATGTCTGAAAGTGCTGGGAGGATACTATGGGTTGACAGATGGCTGACAGGCCTAAAGTCCCAGAGTAAACCAGGATAGATTGCTCTTTTAGCCGTGCTAAGTGGGGTACAGAAATGGAAAAACGAAGAAAACCAGTACCTCTCATGTCCCATAGAGTCCTAGACAGGGTAACTTAACTAATTAAGTAGCTTTAATTTGGAAAAAGTTCAAGAAAGAAAATATTCTGGTCATTTTTGTCTAGCCAACTCTATGGACTCTACACCATTGTCACAGATACCAAGTCAGTGGGAAAGACACACACACACTCTCAGATAGAAAGAACTGGCCATGGTGTCACACATCTTTAATCCTATCATGCAGGAGGCAGGCAGATCTCTAGGACTTCAAGGCCAGCCACAGTTAAGTGGTAAGATCCTGTCTCACAAGCTTACACGCAAAGAACAAAACAACAAAACAGAGAATTGAAATATTCCTCATGTCTGAGGCTCACAAGTTAAAGTCCTTTAATAATACAAAGTAACTGAACACTAGAATGCTTTTTTTCAAGGTTATAAAAAAATGAATTACAAGTCTTTCATAAACCTAAAACCTAAATACTATATATATATATATATATATATATATATATATATATATAGTATTGCAAGCTTGTTTTAGCACTTGCACAGAAATCTGTAGAAGGGGAATTCATCCCAGTTCTTCAGAATTTCTTTCTCCTCGTAGGAAGCCCTGAAATCCATACAATTTCCCAAATCAAGTAGAAAATAGCAGGAGAGAGCTTTCATTCAGCTGACTGACAGGGATGGATCCTCGGGATGCAGGCAGTGCTCGTCGCCAGGAGCCTCCCTGGGAGCAGGAGGTCCACTGAAATCCTTTGTGTGAGTCACTTCACTTGGACTCCTGCTCCTAAGCTCCAAACTTGCAGCTGACAACAGGCCAGTTTCTAAAGGGTCAAGAAAACATAACAATAAGATTCTAAAATACTTTGTTTAGGAACAACAGAATTGGGGGAGGATAGGCAGTGGATTCTGAAACCACAGGGTAATATTCTAGAGGTATAGATCCTGCTGAGATACTGTGTATGAGTGCGCACAGATGCACGCGCTAATCTCCAGCCTGGTTCCTCAGGAGCTCTGAAGCTAGGGAGTCTTTTTCTGAAGAGACATGATGCCCCGTCTAGCCCCTCAGCATCATGGTCAGCATCTGTACCCTGACCCCTCTTGGGACTAGTCAACCAGCTGACTCTTCCACTACTACATCCTCATCTCTCCCGGCCAAGGTTACTAAAAGAACTTATCCTCCCTCTAAGGTCCATAGCCACACCCAAGTGGCACCTAAGGGTCTCTACACAGTCAAGCCCCATTTTTCAGACCAGCCACAGATTCTGGTATATGTAACTAGGACAGTGTGGTGGAAGAAGCCTTATCCCGGAAGGAGGCCTAGTCACCTTCCCATCCCAAACAAAAGGGCAGGAGGAGGGGAGGCTGAGACTTCTCACCTGGCTGGTTGGTCCGACACACCTCTTCCCAGGTGTAGTTAGCAAGGTTCACAGGCTGTGTCACCCAGGGGTCTAGGATCAGCTCCTCTAAAGTGGTCCGCTGCTCAGGGGAAGGCTGCAGCAGCCCAGACAGAAGAGCCATAAGTTCTAAGGACATAAAGAACACAGGTGGAACCAAGCCAAGTCAAATGGAACACATCTCAGACTTCAGGGTGTCCTGCTTCACAGAACCTCTCACAAAGCAAGGAAGCAGCCTGGAGTCCTAGGGCTTGAGGGCCTGCCCTGGTATTGTCAGAGAATACCTTTATAAATCTATCACCTCCAAAATGGAAGCGTGGAAGTTGAGATCCAGCTCAATCAAACCTCAGGTGGTCTGATTTCAAGGTGTGCTGGCTAGTTTTATGTCAACTTGACACAAAATTTATTTGGACCAGACAATGGTAGCGCACACCCTTAATCCCAGCACTTGGGAGGCAGATGCTGGCAGATCTCTGAGTTTGAGGCCAGCCTATATAGTTCCAGAACAGGCTCCAATGCAACACAGACAAACCCTATCTCGAACCCTCCACCCCACCCCACCCCCACAACAACAACAACAACAAAGTTAACCGGGAAGAAAGAACTGCGATTGAGAAAATGCCACCACCAGATTGGCTTGTGGGACATTTTCTTGATTGAAGTGGGAGGGCTCAGATCACTGTAGATAGTGCCACCCGTGGGTTGG